CACACATGGGCTGGGACTAACGGCTTTACTTCCTTCCGAAGGAAATCTCCTCGCCCGTATAAACTTCTCTGATGTTTGTAAATTTTACAAGTATTAGCACCGACAAACCGACATGAATAACCATAGCAAAAACAATAAAATTTCTGACACTACTGACACCTGGCTCCATGTTCGCTGGAAATAGTCAGCTAAGCCATGAACCCGCATGCAAATGTTATGAATTGGTTCGTGTCTGATCTATTATGGTCAAATTATTTTTTATCTAGATCAAAAAATCCTATGCTTTTGACAGTTCGGATCACTGCATATTTAAATCGGCCGTTTACGATTTTCGTGCATAAGTCAGAATTAAGTGTCATGTCGGTTTGTCGGTGGGATTAGCACCATAAGGTTCCGAAGAAACGAGCTCAACTTTTTGGCTCAGCTCTGGTACTATCTTCGGTCCCAAGCTAATCGATGCACCCCTCGAAACATGAAAATCCACGACTGGTGGTCAACCCAGCTAAGTGTACAGTTATTACTTTCTCACGCAAGAAACAACCGATTATTTTCAACTACAAACTACTAGGCACGACTATCGAACGGGTGCACTGCGTGAAAGACTTAGGCGTTTTTCTAGACTCAAAGCTGACATACTCACACCATATATCGTATGTCGTCGACAAAGCGTCCAGAACGCTTGGCTTTGTCTTCAAGATTACTAAGAACTTCACGGACATTTACTGCTTGAAATCGCTCTATTGCTCTCTCGTACGATCTACGTTGGAATACTGCTCTGCTGTCTGGAGCCTGAACTACAATAATGGGGCCGAGCGAATTGAATCTGTTCAACGACGTTTTCTTCGCTTCGCGCTCCGTAAGCTGCCTTGGAGATACCCACTTCGTCTTCCAAGCTACGAGAATCGCTGCCAATTGATCAATATCGAGCCCTTACGTATCCGAAGAGATGTTTTCAGAGCCTTAACCGTCGCCGATACTCTGCAAGGAAGAATTGACTGCGAAGCAATTCTGCAACAAGTGAACATTAATGTTCAACCTCGATCACTACGCAACAGTCTTATGCTGAGACTTCCACTTCTTCGAACTAATTATAGCATAGGGAGCGCTATTTACGGCTTGCAGCTAGTGTTCAACCGAGTAGCGTCGATGTTCGATTTCCACTTGACACGGAATATGCTTCGCCGAAGATTCTCTGCCTTTTTTGCTGACCGAAGGCGCTTGATACCCAACAGCTAAGTGTAAAATTTAAGACTTATAAATTTTTAGTAACTTGACAATGCTTTCCAAGTTATTTTCGTTTGTAACTGTAGTAACTGTAGTATATGTATGTCGTCTGTATAATCTGTATTTTTTACAACACATCATTGGGACTATTTCTAGTCTGTTGATGCAACCATAACAAATAAACAAATAAACCCCTCATTTTATCTGTCAAACTTTCATAGCGAATCAAAACAAACATAGTGTAGTACTGGAATTTATACTAGAATGGGGTACGTTAATCGATTTGCTTGGGACCAATAGGCTAGTCAAGTAGTGAGCCAATGCAAAATCGTTAGTTTCGTATTGATTGTTGGTATTAGTGCAGAACTTTGGGTAAATTTAAAGGTTTTCTTGCACTAATATTTATAATTTACCCAAAGTTCTGCACTAATATTTGTGAATTTCACAAACTTCAGAGTAGTATATTGAGCTTTCTGACGTTTATAACACGCACACTTGCGTAATCCCATTTTGAAGTGCGATTTTTGCTATCCTCACTTTCGCTCCAGCGATAAATGTTGGTTTGTTATTGTTATCCTCACTTTCGGACCATCAATACTCGCGCACATAGAATGTACTAAGACTTCTCTGACGTTTATGAAATTCACAAGTATTAGTACACGAAAACCTTTAAATTTACCCAAAGTTCAGCACTAATACTTGTGAAATTCACAAACGTCAGAGAAGTTTATAGAGATTAGTGACGTTTAACGCACGCACACTAGCGGGTATATCGCCGTGTAAAGTTGTTTATTATTTTCCTCTAGCTAAACTAAAAAAATGTATGAAATTAGATCTGTCAAAATGCGCTTGACAGCGATTTGTTATGTGTTTTCCTCGGATTTTCACTAACACGGTCTGACATATCGCACCAATACAACCGGACGTGAGAATCTCAATAGTAACAAAGCTGTATCACCATGTATATACCTTGGAACTTTACATGAACATTTGTGTGATTAAGTTTTAACCTTATGTATTATGGTTTTTTGGAAGTGAACCTTACAAATAATGTGTTGTTAAGAACCAACCTTAAATTCACCAGCACCACTTGGTTCATTAGCGGAAGAGGCAGCAGAAAGTCAACATAAACAATAAAAAAAAATATCGAACCCATCATGCAAGAAATCGATCAAGAGTAGATAATTTACATGATGTCTTCATTCGTGCCATTAATAAATTGGATCCACTGATCAGTTCAATTTGGATGGAGTAAAGACGACAGAATTAAGTATTTTTGGAGTATCCCGACATCATGAACAGACATCATCTGGAAGCCTGGCAGCAGGAATGGTTTCAGTCGCGGACCACTTTCCTGAGGAAGATCAAGGAAACCGTACGCTCCTGGCTGGACAGCCAAAAGTACACGGACCAGCGGATCATCTCAAGACTCCGGACCGGCCATGCGAGGATTTCCTGTAATTTCGATGGGACACCTTTCCGCAAGATCTGTTCAATTTGCAGCATCCTCGCCTCGGTGGAACACGTGCTGTGTGTCTGCCCGGAGTTCCAGAAGCTACACGAACAACATGAACTCCCGGAGAACGTCAGTAATCTGCTTGGTTACGACCCCTCGACGTTGGCTGCGCTGATCGCCTTTCTGAAGGAAGCCCACTTGTATGATCAAATCTAGCCCCCCATCGGTGGCTGCACTGATCTGTGTTCCTCACGTTTCTATTTTTTTCTGCCGTCGGGGTTTCTCCGGCGAACCGGGCACTGTCTCCTACGGTGGAGCTCTACCTTGTTTGCGCACCCAGTCCTCACCACAGCCCCGATCTTATCCTCACTTTACATTAAGTCACTTTAATGTCAAATTAAAACCTATTTTTTAGGCAGGATCAAGCCTGACCATCTGCTGTATAACGTGATGAACTAGCCTACGACTAAAAATCACGGTAATAAAGAAAAAAAAAACATTTTCGGTAAGGTCAAGATATGGTTCGACGGCTAAAGTCATTGTTTACAAAAACAATTACGTCCCTTTGAAATGTTGGTACTGATTTAAATGAGCTGAACAACAAAATGCAAACCGAGAAAGGGGCTTTTGATCGGAGCAACACACACTCAAACAAAATAGCAACCCAAAACAGAGTTTTAGCGGGTCACCAAATTTGAAAACTCATAACTTTTAATTCGATTCGTTCTCATTTCCCATTCCTGTTTTGAAACTATCGATGTTTAGGGGAAACGCTCCTATAGTTGCGGTACGTTAGAAGCGTTAGGTTCCTATAGTTGTGTATGGAGTCTGCATACACAAATATAGGAACCTAACGCTTCTAACGTACCGCAACTATAGGAGCGTTTACCCTATACCCCGTTCACATTACACCGTATATCACGTGATATACGCTGTCTTGCAATGAGCACTCATACATCTAGTTTTCACTGGAAATCTGCTCATTGCAAGACAGCCTATATTACGTGATATACATAAGTTGCTAAATGGGGTTCGGAAATACACGCTAATTCAAGGCCTCCGACGTTCGGCAAATTTTGAACTACAGAACTGTTCGGTAAAAGTTTAAAAATCAGTGAAAAATCCAATTATTAGTAAATTTATTCCGAACTTTGTACAGTTTATCCCATATATTTATAAAAAAAAAATTTTTTATTGATTTCTCACGAGTAACGGTCATATGAAAATTTAACCGACTTGTTCTGCTGTTCAAAAACCGACTTCGGTGATCTGAATTAATTGTAGGCGCCCGTTTAAAGACTTCCGTGGCGGTGCTCTAAAGGCCCAAACGCATTGTGGACGGAAGCGGAACGGAAACGGAAAGTTTGACAGTTGTCACAAATGCCATCAAGATGCCCAACCGAAGTCGATTTGATTCTAACTAGTTTTCAATCCGACAAGTAGGCTTACTCAGATCGGGCTTTTCCGCTGCCGCTGCCGTTTCGCTTCCGCTGGCATTGCGCTTGGGCCTTAAGTACTGTGGAGAGAATATTTCAAAATTTGCATCAGTCTTCTGATACACCCTTCTCAATTGTTGATCCAGAAATATTTTCAGTGCAAAAATTAGCAGAAATCGAAACAGTCATATTTGAAAATTTCATCAGTACGCAGCCTAACGGTCAACACGTGGCATTCGAAGAGGTTATGAGCAACAAAATTCTACCAAAACAGCATTGTTTATACCTGAAAGCTTAGCCACAGTTTTCCAGCAACCACTAGGTACAAATAAAGTAGCAAATTAATTTCCATCGCTTGGTCATGCATTGAAAGTGAAAAAATAAAAACAAACCGCCGGTGCTGCTCAGTTGGAACAAAATACAGCCGCAGCCGGTTGCTGATAAACGCGGCTACGTGCACGGTACTCGCTCTGTGCTATTTAACGAAAGTGCCCACCCGGAGGATCGGCAGCACTTAACGAAGGTGATTTGGAGGGCGCGAAAGTCAACTCGACAGCGCGCTGCAAGAGGCAAAAGGGCGCATCGTACGTAAACAATCGAGTTCAAACGAAATTGGGGGTGATTTTTTGAGGTTTCGTGGTTTTCCGGTGGATTATTTGGAGTCGGAGCATTGCCCTTGATCTTCCGGGGAGGAAATTTTTTGCTAAATTGAGAAAAATTTCAATTCAAGACCGTTACTGGTGAGGAGGTTTTTTGAATTCCGTGACAGTAAGGTGCGAGTGGCCCTTTCGAAAATACAACCGTTATTTTACGTAACCAAATCGATTGATGAATGACGTCACATCTGTCAAAGTTTGTTCCACGGCCTAAATTTTTTCCTCTTTATTCCGCGATGAGTAGTTTGTCGTAAAGCGAAAGGAGTACATTTTCGGAACGAAAAATCGGGAAAACAAGCGTGAAAATATAAAATCTGGTGTTGGAAATCCGTTCCGCAACCGGAGAACATTCGGTACAGTGCAGTGGAGTAGGTAAATCGAGCGGATTTTCCGAAAGTGTCCACGACGACGTCTGGCTGCTTTGAGCTGTGACATTTTGTGCAGCTATAACCTATATTTTTCTGCTGCTGCTGGCTCCTGGCAAGAAACCATCATCATCATCAGCAAGCACCAGCACCGAGTGTCAAATAATAATCTCGAAAGTGCACTGCTAGATGTGGTGCGTGTACAAATTGGAAGAGAATTTCCTGTAATTGATGATTCAATGCGCGATGTAGACATGGTAGGTAGAATTTTGCAGTTCTCGGGAAGTTAACTTTCCTGGGTAGGAAGCTCTCTAGTCTATACTAATGCTGGTTGTTTTTGTATGTGTGTGTGTGTGTTTGTGTATTTTAGGGCCCGTCGGAGTTTTGAACAAGAGGAAGAGCAGCGAATAATGCTTCTTTTGGTGTGACGTACAATTTCCCGAGACCGTAAAAATGCAGAGTGGAGGAGGACCGTTACAACCGGGTCCGTCCGTAATGCGAGGACTAGGGTCGGGAACACCGACCTCTTCACAGCAGCAGTCCGATATGCAGAAAATGCAGTCTCAACCTCCGTTGATGAATCAGCAACAGTATCAGCAGCAAAATCTGTTTCGAAATGCTGGTACGAACCAGAATACGCGCCAGCCGCGTGCCATGGTACCAGCCTACCATAGTGCGTTCATTGCGCCTGTATTTCCCATGCCCTATAATCCGAGGATGAACCAGTGGGCTAACTATGCCTCGATGCCGGGAATGCCCCCGTACTCGCATCAGTACTATGTGCCCCAGGGACAATTCATCTCCGGTCAGCATCAACAGAATCGACGTAATCCGGGCGGTGAAAACAATCTAGTTAATGTAAATAGCAACTATTCCGGAACTCCTTCGAACGGAAGCACTAATCAGCTTAATCCGCTAACGACTATTCCGCAGATGCCGCAGGTTCAAATGCCACCGGGGCAACCGAATCAACAATCGTCGCCGATGACCGTATCGCATGATCTTCTCGTGATGCAACAATTGCATCCACCGCCGACCCAGCATACGCCCCAATCTGGGGTTCCTGGTGCCCCTGGCCAAGCGCCGATAGAACAACATCAGCCAAATCCCGCTCAAGTCAATGTCGGAGCACCGCAGCCCCAGCACACGATGATGCCACAATTGCAGCTTGCTCCTCATCTGACGGCCCCAGCGGCACCTCCGGCTTCTAAAGTTAACAAAAAGAAACAACGTGGCTCACGGGCAATTCCAATTATTAATCCAGACACGCAGGAAGATCTGCTGGACATAATCTACAATGATTCGACGCCCCCGACGTCCTCGGCGACGCCAACAACAGTAGCGTCTACAAGCGGACCACCACCGCCACTACCAGCCGGAGCTGGAGCCGGAAATTCTGCACCACCGCAAGCAAACTATAGCACTATTCCTCCAAATGTACCCCAAGTTCCACTAAATCCAGCAGCCGTAGAGTCCGATTATGATAATTATCCGCCTCATCCTCACCAGGGAACACCGGAATTACCGGGCGGCATGTTGATACATCATCAAGCACCGCCCCATCTGCAGCATCCACCGCCGAATCATCCTCCACCACCAACACACGTGCATCCCGGCCAGGGACAAATGTTTGACATGGGCCGATCTCCGGCAGGGCAGCAGCCCCATGAAATCGTCTATCCCGGTGCTGGTCCACTGAAGCCCGTCAATCCTCCACCACCACATCTTCCTCCACCGCCGCATCATACGATGGTCTCGTCGGTTCCAACAGCTACAGCGGAAATGACTACTGCTAGCGGAACACCGGTCGTTTCGGCCAATGCCAATGCGCCATCGGTTGAAATCAAACCCTATCAGCAGAAGAAGAAAAAACCGGTCAGCGAACCGCCGGTGATCATTCAGCAGCCTCCGCCTTCGGTGCAACCTCATCCACAGCTACAACTGCAACAGCAGCAGCAGCAGCTCCACCATCATCTTCACCACCACCAGCAGCAGCAGCAGCAACATTCTCTTCCAGCTAACATCAATCAACCGCCACCTCCGACCGGAATCAATATGGTCGACATGATGCCCATTCCTTACGGTGGTGCTCCGGAGCGATACCGTACTATTTCGGAAAAATCCATCGCCGAGTCGACCCTATCGACGGACGCGGAACCCTTTGTCTACACTGGTGCCAGCAGCAATCAGCCGCCACCACGCGTAGAGGAAGTTCCTCTTCCGGTACCGGTGGTACCGGTAGTTATACCGGAAGTACCTCCCCCCGCGGTAGTGCTACAGGAACAGCAGCAGCAGCAGCAGCAACCTCCCCATCAGGAAGCAACGGTTTTGCCCAGCAAACCGGAAGTGGTGGAGGAAGTGGCGTCGGTACCAGTACCGGTACCGATTCAAGTTCAAGTCCAAGTCCAAGCGAAACGACCAGTCGACACACTGATGGCCGGATTGGAGAAGCTTAGCGTAGAGGATCAACCGGCGGCAACCGTCGGTCACACTAGCAACAATAACAATAGTAAGAAGAACAAGCAACATAAGAAACGGGTCGAAGAAGCGCCTGCAAGTGAGACTATCAGCAGCAAAGACCCTGGCAGTAGCAAAGCTCCTGCTATAGTAGCAGCAACAACAGCAACAACAACAACGGTAGTGGTTGAACAGCATAAACAACAAGAAGCAGTCGATGAAACCGACCGGTCTGCTATCGTCTCGGTGGAAGAACCTCATCAGCAGCAGTCGTCATCGTTAATTAGTAATTTAGTGGAACATAATACTAGTAAGTTAGATAATGATAATATAATTAATAATAATAATGTGGATTGCACCAGTACTACGATTACAACAAATAACGATAATACTACTACTACGACAGACAACAACAACGTCGCATCGTCGCCGATGGAAAACAACGCTAAACAACAACAGCTCGATTCCCGACAGCCCACGCCACCGAAGGCGGTGGACGTGGAGAACAACGTTCAGCAGCAGCAGCATGAGCAACAACCCGAATTTGACGACAACAAGAACGTGGTGGAAAGTAGCACGTCAGCCGTGATATCCGCGGATCCTCTGCCACCACCACAACCCAAGGAATCGACCCCGGAGGCGGTGGAACAACCGACAGAAGAATCAACCCCGGCACCGGTAGCAGCTACCCTGAAAGCGCCGTTGATTCCGATCAAAAAGTCCCGCTCGCTCACGCTCATCGAGTATGATGCGGACCAGTGGAGTCCGGAAAATCCAACCGGCAAGAAAAAGTATTCCCGGGATCAGCTAATGCAGCTTAAAAACACCGCCCCTGCTCGGGAGAAACCGATCAATCTGCCCAACAGTCTGGAGAACGTACTGGGTAGATCCAGCCACGGTGGAGGACACTCGATGGGAGGTGGTGGAAACCACTATGGCAAGAGCAACTTTGCCGAAATGTCCCTCCTGCCGACCTTCATCAAGGATCGAATGGTTGGCGGAGGTGGTGGGGGTGGCGGCGGTGGCAACATGGGTCAAATGCGACAACCCTATCCACCGAAGCGATCATCCCAACAGGGCAACCAACCTGGATCGCAGTCAAATAAACAGTCCCAACAGGGCATGAACAAAACCGGATCCAAGATCATCCGGCTTCAGCTGGATGAAGAAGTCAAACTGAACGAATGTGAAAATGCATGGCGCCCAAGGTACCTCCAACAGACTGAACCTTCCGACGATATCGATCGGAAAACGGACGTTCTGTTCAAAAAGTTCCGATCCGTGCTGAACAAACTGACACCGGACAATTTCGAAAAGCTGGTCCACCAGGTGAAATCCTTCGTGATTGACACCGACGAACGGTTAGACGGATGCATAAAGTTGGTCTTTGAGAAGGCTATCTCCGAACCAAGCTTTTCCGAAGCCTACGCCAAGATGTGTAAGGAAGTGGGAACGATAGCCATCGTGGCTTCGACTGAGAAGCGAACGACTAGCTTCAAGAGCCGCCTTCTGGCCCAGTGTCAGGCGGAGTTTGAACGACGCCGTAACGACCAGGACAGTGCCATCCGGGACGGTCGCATCAAGCTGGAAGCTAACAAGAATCTAGCAAAGGACGAATTCGAAGAACTGAAGGCTCAGCTAGAGGAGGAAGAACAGAAAGTGCGGCGGAGAGCCGTCGGAACGGTTCGATTCATTGGAGAACTGTTCAAGCACGGCCAGCTGACTGCCAGCATCATGCACAGCTGTATCAAGCTGCTCATCGAAAAGGACCACAAAGACTACGACGAAGAGACGTTGGAATGCCTGTGCAAGCTTCTGACGACGATCGGCTCCAAGATGGAGAAGGAAAACGATCAAGACTTGGGCAAATACTTCGATAAGATGGGCGAAATTGTCCGGCATAAGGAACAGTACCGAATTAGTAGTAGGATTCGGTTCATGATCCAAGATGTAATCGATTTGCGACGGAATGGTTGGAACCCACGACGGCAGGATCTCAATCCTAAAACGATGAATCAGATCCAGAAGGAAGCCGAGACGGAGCAGTTCCAGAACACCATGAGCTACCTTCCTCGGGGCGGTGACATGGGCCGAGGAGGGCGTGGTAACATGCAAGGTGGTTCCAAAATGTCCGGTTCGATGGGTTCCGGCGGGTACAGCCAGGGATCGCTCGGACGGGGCGGTAATCAGGGCTCAATGAAGGGCGGTCGATTGCAAACCGACGACGATGGATTCCAGCAAATTCCGAACAACCGAAACAATCGCTCGCAGTTGCAGATTGATCCCAAGAAGATCAACATTCCCAGCAATCTAGACATTACAGCCCGGCTCGGATCGGCGGCTAGCTACCAGGGCTGGAAGAACAACAGCAACATGTTTGCTGCACTGAACAACGAAGAAAACCAGGCTGCAGGCGGTGGCGCCGGCGGTGGAGGCGGTGGCGGTATGATGGATCGCGATGGCGATCGAGATCGACGAGATCGGGATCGTGGTGATCGGGACCGAAATCAACGTGATCGGGACCGAGATCGTGATCGGGAACGTAGCGGTAGTCATAATAAGAATTCTGGAAGCAGAGATTCCTACCACAAGGGATCGATGGAACGGGACCGGTATAACCGGTACGGCAGCAGTAACAGTCAAAACGATGATCGCATGTCCCGTTCGTCGCGGGAACCATCATCGGGGGGCATGAGACCAATGAGTGGTCAGCACAGCAATAACCAAATGCATGACCGCGATCGGGACCGTGGCAAACTGTCGTCTCAGCAACAGCAGCAATCAACGATTCCTGGACGAGGATCACAGCAGCGACATATTCCACAATCCACAGCTCCTCTAGCGGGCAAAATGGGTCCACCATCTAGCAGTGGCAGTGCCCTTTCGAAAACCGGCTCTGGTCACCTCTACCAGCAGCAACAGTTGCCCCAGTTTGCTATACCAAAGGATGTTGCGGTCCGGCGGAACTTCCCGCTTCCCGACGAAGAAACCGAAATCAGTCTGCAAAAGTTCTCCAAGACTGTGAACAGCGAAATGGACCAATCGGACATCGAGGAAAGTTGCACAATGCTCAAGGACCTCAACATCAAACCCGAATTCTACCACGCTGCCGTTAGTCAACTGTTTATGGACAACGTCGAACGGGATGGCAAGTCTCGCGAAATGGTCGTCCTGGTCATCGCACAGATGTTGGAGAAGAAGGTCATCGTAAAGGCCGACTACCTGCACGCCCTAGAGGAGATGTTCAAGATGGCCAACGATCTAATCATCGATATACCTCAGCTGTACAAGTACGTTGCCACTTTCTACGTGATGCTGCTGAACAAACGGTTCATCAATCTGGTCGACGTTCGGAATGCTGCCCAGGACATTCTGCCCCATTATGGTGCTACCATGCTGAAGGAACTCCTGCTGCAGTACGAAGCCCTCTACGGTACGGATGCCACCGTGATGCTGTGGTACGAGTCGTCCCTCAATCCGACCGATTTCATCAAACTGGGCAGCCCGGACATGGCTGAACAATACCTGACTGACGCCAAACTAGGCTACCTGCTCGATTCCAGCAGCAAAGCCCTCGACATGCAAACCGTCGGCACACAAATCAAACATTTCCTGAAAACGAACGCGAAGTTCATGGACATCTACATCTGGATTTCCGGCTACGTTGGCCTCGAGCGCGAAACCTCGGACGAGTTCATCCGAACTCTCACGAAAGCGGTGATTGAACACTGTATAGATGATGGTAAGACGAAGCTGAACCTCCAAGAGATCCAGAAGTGGCACCAAATCCTCCAGAAGTACATCGATAGCAAGCCGGAGCGGGAACTGCAGGCGCTGTACGCGATTCAGCGATTAGTGGTGGAGCTGGAGCATCCACAGAACCTGTTGCACTCCATACTGGAGCAGCTGTACGAGTTAGATGTGATAATGGATGGATTCCCTCTTTGGAAGGATTCGACGGACCCGCTAGAGGCGGCCGGAAAGGGTGTGTGTTTGAAGGGAATTACGCAGTTCATGACGATGTTCATGGAGAATTCGAGCGACGAGGATAACTAAATACTGAACATGTTTTTTTTTTTTGAAACCGCGTAAATATTTGACTATTGGAAGAACACATTATTATACCTACTAATGGATAATTGATAAAAATATAATGAATAAAATTAACGTTAAGAACAACATTTATTTACATATATATTTATAAATTATCAAATAAAGTATCTGGTGAACCACAAAAAAAAAAGAAGAAAAGAACGGGTGATGACTTCTTCTTCTAAGGCGTTTGAAACTGCATGGCGGATGGATTCACTTCGACCCTTATTACCGATGTCACTTCACGGTGAAGTGACAACTTGTCACTCACCGTGAAGTGATCCCCATTTGATTTACACGGCAATCACTTCACCGTGAGTGACAACTGGTCACTTCACTTCATTTTCATCGTGAAGTGACACCCATAATAAGGGCCTTCGTGTCGGTTTTTTGGGAACCTGATGGGGGTAAGGGGCTGTTCATAAACTACGTAGACAGTTTAGGGGGGGGGGGGTTGACAATTATCCACGGCCCATACAAATTTTAAAATTTTTGTATGGGCAATTGTCTACGTAGGGGGAGGGGGGGGGCCAAGAATCCCAAAAATCTGTCTACGTAGTTTATGAACAGCCCCTAAGACGAGCATCGTTTCTAAACCACATCTATTGACAGTTGGATTTTTGAATACCCCCCACCCTTTTGTCCTATGGACGAGTGCACCGATGGATTTGAGTTCACTCACTGGAGAAAAAATGACACAAGCTGCGGCCAATGTTTACTAATCATGAATAATGAACATTTAGTGTTCATACATTGCCCGGTTATAAACGGTGGTAACACATTTCCAGACTACCCCCATCCCCTCTTGCGTTACGTAATATTTGAATGGGCCCTTAAAGCTGAGTCCCAATTGATGCAGTTTTCAAAAAATTGTACGTAGGATTAAAATTTTAAAATGCTTCTATTTCTCAAATAGATTTTTATTAATTTTTTCAATGATTCTACGGGGAAGGAAAACTCAAGGGCTGGCTACTCAATAGATGTATTATATTAAATATTAGAAGTTTTTCACAATATTTGATGATAGTGGTTTAGGTAGGTTTCGACTTTTCATACCGCACAGTAACACTCAAATTAATTTAAAGTACTATGCATATATTTGTAAACTTTTAGCTATAAGCATTTTAGGACTGTCCTGTACAAAGTATTTGAAATTGCGTTAGAAATCATTTCATATCGCAGTCACAGTTTTTAACTGATAATCTAGTAAGGTCCCTGGCTGAGATGTTCTACGTCAAGCCATGATACGGTCTTCAAACGCCGGTTACCTACACATATATGTCTCGAAAACGCTGCGTTAGTGTGCAACTGTCTTCCCAGCATGGATAGTTTGAGTGTGTCAAGTTGATCGGTATCGAACATGTCATGTCCTGGGGCACTTAACGTTTGCTATCGGTTTGGAGTAGAGAGGGCCTGGCAGAAAGGTTTTCAGCCAAACGAACTGCCTATCAGAGCCAATTGAGCAGCGCCTATCTTGATTGCATTGGCAGTGTTGCAAGAAATCATCTAGGCATTGACCTTTCTGACTTTTATAACACGCACACTTGCGTAATTCCTTTTTTAAGTGCAAGGTTTGTTATCCTCACTTTCGCCCCAGCCAAAAATGTTGGTTTGTTATTCCCCCCTATTCTGCGAGTCACGTGACTCTCTCTCACCGGTGAGGTGACAATAGTCACCTCGTGTGAGGTGACTCTCCATTTGCTTTGCATGGAGAGTCACCTCACACGAGGTGACAATTGTCACCTCACCGGTGAGAGAGAGTCACGTGACTCGCAGAATAAGGGGGATTGTTATTCTCACTTTCGGAACATCAATACTCGTGCGCATAGAATGGACTATAGGTTGTCAGTTTGTTTTGAATCCACTCCTCTCTTATACTAGACCCTCTCTAGTAGACTACTTACACCGGTATACCGGACTTTGCGCAGAAGCTTGCTGAGCGACAAGTACCCAAAGTTGCTATCAATTGGCGCTCCGTGAGGTATGAACGAAACCATCTCAAAAGATTTCCACCGATCCCTAGGCTATCAAGCTTAGCAATCGCAATTTCGTGGTTTAGCTTATCGAAGGCTGCCGTTAGATCTGTGTAGATAACGTCCGTTTGGGTCCGAGCAATCAAACTGTCTATGATGTAAGACGTTAGGCACAGCAGTTTCGTAGTTGTGGAACGCCCAGTTATGAATCCGTGTTGATCTATACTTCGATTATTGCTTGCAATGCGCATCTAGGGACTCTATGACAACCAATTCAAAAAGTTTTGATACAGCACTCAACAACGTGATTCCCCGGTGGTTGTTTAAGTCGCGTTTGCTTCCCTTTTTATGAGCAGGAAACATATCCACAGTCTTCCAGCAAGACGGAAAGAGAGAGCTGGAATATGCGGCGCAGTGGATCTAAAAGACTAGTGATGTTCTTTTTAAGAATAATCGACGGAACACCATCGGGTCCAGTCTTAGCTGAAGTCTTAAGTTTAGATGCTGCTCTAGAAATCGTAGCGTTTGGTTGACCAAAGGAACAATACTGGCCGCGGAAGTAATGAGATTAGCGGAGAGTTGCTCGTCTTCAAACACACTAGCAAATTTGGCTGAGAACAGGTTGCAAACGTCTTGTTGATTGCCAGCAGTTTCACCATTAACAATCATGGAAGAGGGTAAGCCGACTTCCCTGCGTTGCTCATTTACGGAGTTCCAGAAGAATTTCGGGTGTGATTTTAGCCGCCGTTGAATCCTCCTTTGATAGCGTTGAAAACAGAGGCGACTTAACCGCTTATACTCGTGGTTGAGTCTGACATGGTGGCATTTCAGCGTCAGTGTGCGGAATTTATGTCGTTTTCGTTTTTATTACACTACACCGGTGTAGTGTAAGCAGCAATAAGCGCGAGTCATTGACAGCTCATCATCATTTGTTTGTAAACAAATGTTCAATCGATAGCTACACCCTAAAAATTTTCGGTGTTCGGCGGTGTAGCACCGGTGTAGCTACACCGCAAAAACGAAAACGACATTAGTAAAACTTCCGAGAGCAGCCTTCTTATGTCGTTTTCGTTTTTGCGGTGTAGCTACACCGGTGCTACACTGCCGTACACCGAAATATTTTAGGGTGTAGATATAGGATGCACCTTTGTTTACAAACAAATGATGTTGAGCTGTCAAATAGCGAATTCGTTTATTATCGGGGTTAACACCAGTTCCAACCCAGTGCGAAACCGAACTTTTTGTCAGTGTGAACCTCAACCTGAGCTAGGTTTTAAAAACAAACTGTTTTAAAAACAAACTAGCAAACTGACGTTTGTCAGAAAACAAGCAGACCCAATCTTGATACCCGATCCAGGTTGGAACTGAATAATAAACGAATTCGCTAAAAGACTCGCGCTTATTCCTGCTTACACTACACCAGTGCTACACCGCAAAAACGAAAACGACATTAGTTCTTTTCAACGAGCGAAGATCTTATACGTCATCCACGGGACGCGAGAGTCGATATGGATGATCTTTTTGGAAACGTACCTGTCAATGACATATGTCAAGACGTGAGAAAAGGTTTGTGCAGCAATGTTGACGTCTACAGGATCTAGAATATGCTCCCAATCAAGGTTAGACAGCACATGGACAATACTGCGATGCGTTTGGAGTGCTGATTCGATCACGATAACTAAAGCAAGGTGATGATCGGGGTGATGATGCACTTCCTTGACTTGAGGTTTGGGTGCCGTGGAGAGAAAAGGAGCTGTATCATGAGCACTCACAAAGCAGAGATCCAGGGTGGGGTTGTTTTCATTCAACAGGCCATCGATTTGTGACAGAATTGCGGTACTATAACTGTCCAGGAGCTGGTCCTACGTGGAACCACTATGGGTCGGAGTCCATGCAATGTCCGGTAGGTTAAAAACGCCAAGAACAATAACTTCGTCGGAAGAGCCTGCTTTGTCTGAAGCGACCAAGACGGATCGACAATGTGCGTCAATAAGCTTCAAGTCACGGCTTCGATCTGGAGGGATGTATTGCGCGTTTCACACCAAATTGGACTAATAAGCGCGTTTTCACTTATTACAAAGTGTGACGGAAACGTGCACTTTTATCACACATTTTTGGGACAGTCCAGTTTCAGATGCAATCAGCAATACATTGTCCCTGAAGTTGAAGTCCCTGAAGTTGAACAAACGATAAACAATTACATCTCGCGTAACGTTTTAAAAGGGCTTTTGTAAGGCCTTTCAGCCTTTTTCATGCGAACCGAAGTGCACCCATGCAAACAAAGACCGCTATCAGAAAGGGCAAAATTTCCCCTACCAGATGAAGATCTAATTTTTCATAATTATTGGCAAATTTCCAATGATTTTCCTATGAATGTCACTTCCCCGAATTCCATTTTCTCGAAAGTGAAAAGAACGAGTAGCAATAGAAAGAAGGCAGAATCTCATTTGGGGATGCGCTATCTAAGATCAATTTATTATTGTAAGATTTTTATCATTATTATAAAAAAAAAATCGTTTATGGAAAATACGGTTCGAACGTAAACGTGAATATTGGTGATTGTGTTCGGCCGAATAACGAATGAATATTGGTGTCCGAGTATGAAGTACCATAGTTCTGAGCAGTTTTGAAATTTTTTAAAGTAATTATAAATTGTATACCATTTGAATGGAATTGTACATGAAGGTAGGCATTAACCACTTGTGCATGGGAAAAATAAATAAATCTAGACAAAAGTGTAACATACTTCAAATTTTTGGCGCAATGCGCGAAACTAGGCGCTGCGGAGAATGATGGTATAAAACAGATGAACAATGCCTGCGAAGCGTAACTCGACAATCATTACAGATTCATTCCGGAGGACTACATCCAATGTTTGGCGGAGTTCCGTCCGAAGTTTCTCTTCGTCGTCCCATCGCTGATGTTGTTCCTGGCCACACACCCCAAGGTGACACAGGATCATCTTTCGAGCGTGGAAGGCGTTCTGGTGGGTGCAGCCGCTGCCTCCCTTCAGCTGCAGGACAAGTTCAAACAGAAATGCGGCAAAGACGTGGACATTACGCAGGGATATGGAATGACCGAAAGCGCTCCGGTTACTCTCTGCACTCCGCACAAGTACGATCTGTCCAAGGTTGGAACGTGCGGTCAGCTATATCCAAATACTCAAGCTAAGATTGTGTCGCTAACGGATGGAAGCAACCTTGGTCCTCATCAGCCGGGAGAGCTGTACATCCGTGGACCGCAGGTCATGAAGGGTTACCTAAACAACGAAAAAGCCACCAAGGAAACGGTCGACTCGGACGGGTGGCTGCACACCGGGGATGTCGCCTATTACGATCAGGATGGATTCTTCTTCATTGTAGATCGGACGAAGGAACTGATCAAGGTCAAAGGAAATCAGGTGAGTACTTACCAATTGTTTATTAACTTTAACTTGTTTTACATTTGAAGTTTGTGTCACATTTAGAATACTTACAGCAGGTTCCTGGTCGGGGGTTTGTTTTCCTCGTTTGTCTATATAGCTGCTGACAGCAGTTACATAAAATTTATAGATAAGGGTATGGAGTGTAGTACTAACATCTAAACCTGTGGGTGAACACTGAAGCTATCGCGTCTTACTGATCCATCGGTTCCACGCTGGATTCGTCAATGTCCATGGCGTTCTCGTCCGGTTTGGCCGTTTCGGATGCATCTGCCGCCATGGGAACCGCCGCATCGACTGCACCCGGCTGTGGCTGTTCCTCTTCGTCGGTAGCCATCACATTTTCCGACACCACAGACGAAAGCGTTTCCATATCGTCTGAGTTCACTCGTGGTGCCGCAGGTTGTTCCGATTCATTTGTTGAAGGTGGGTTGGCTTCCAGGTTGATGCGCTTGACGACCGTTTCCTCATTCTCCTTCGCGATGGAGACCACGGGTTCTACGGCTGTTGCTGGTTCGCTGGGTGCTTCTGAAGTTTGCTCTGTGGTTTGTGGTTCATCGGTAGTAGTAGTCTGTTTCGCTGGCCGTTCCAGCTCCACTTGCTTTTCTTGTTCTGCTGATGGTACTGGATTCCCCACTGTGTTAACAGAACTGGATTCCGACAGGGTTGTATCAGGGGAAGGGGAAGGTAAAATTTCTCCGGATTCAGAGATCTCGTCGGAAGAAATGGCGACGATGTTTACGATTGATTCAGAGGAGGAGGAAAGTAAAACTACGCCGGTTTCGGTTCGTTCCTCAGGTGAGTTGCTGCAGTCAACGTATTCAACGCTACTTCCGTTGGAGTCCGTTGTGGATTCGGAACTAACTGTGTCTTTATCAGGATCCGCAGGTGATTTCTCCGCAGGAACTGTGGTGGCCTTTAGGTCTGCCGTTTCGCTCTCCGGCTGTTCTTGGGACAGTTTGGCCATTTTAGCTTTAGGTTCTCCGTCATCTATGGAATCGTTGTCGGTTTCCGGTGCAATAGCATTGGGTGGCTTCTCAGTTGCTGTTGGTTTGCTAGTATCGTGAGATTCCTGGGCTGGAGCTTCGTTCCGTTCTTTCTGATCAAGAACATCGGTTCCGACTGCTTCGACCACATTGGAAAGTGGTTCTTCTTTGGAATCCAAAGCGCAAGCTTCGGGTGAAGCCGGTTCCACTTCATCGGAATACAGAAGCTTTTCTGTTTGATCGGATGCTTCTTCCTCGGTTGCGGAAGACTTATCGCTTTCTTTGACTTCCTTTGGCAAGGCCTCTTCCGTCTTCGCGTCGTTGATTTCCTCCACTTCAACTCCATTGTCGGTGAGAGCTATTTCCGGAACGGTTTCTGGTTCGTGGTTTTCTGTTTCCTGTTCCTGCTCTTCAGACGATTCCATCGGGGGTACTTCATCTGCACTCGCCGGAGTTGTGATAGGCGGTATCACCGCTTCCGTTGTTGCTGCTGCCGCATTTGTAACCATCTCATTAGAATCGATACCGAATGCTTCGTTATCCATCTCGATATCAACATTCACCTCCAGGTCTCCGTTGACAATGGAATCCAGTGAATCACCGTTTTCGCTGTCGGATCTTCTCCGGCCGGGTTCCTGTGTGCTGACCACTGTAAATAGAAGAATAAATTAACAACAAATACTCATTTTCTACTGCTTGCAGGTTTCTCCAACGGAATTGGAAAATCTAATCCTAGAGTTGCCGGAAATCTCCGATGTGGCTGTCGCAGGCATAGTGGACGAAACGGCAGGTGAACTGCCAAGGGCTTACGTGGTTCTGAGGCACGGACAAACTCTCAATGAAGAAACCGTCATGAACTATGTCAAGGGACGGGTGGTCAAGTACAAGGAACTGGCCGGTGGGGTAATGTTTGTCAAAGAAATTCCACGCAACGCCGGCGGAAAGGTGCTTCGGCATCAGTTGCATCTTCTGGGAGCGCAACTGGATGATTAGAAACGACACAGTGCATGTCCCAAAGAAGACAGACAGTGAACTAACTAGAGGTGCCTTGATTAATTTTAGCTCAATATAATAGGTATTTTCAAATGTGTGCGTGGCCAAAAGTGTACATTTTATATGGTTATGTCGTACAATTATGGTGTAATAAATATAATTGATTTATACTGTTTCTTTTTTTTCATTGGTAACTCCTATTGAATTGTCCCTGAGGATTACGTTTTCTTGGCAAAGCTATAGACAAATAAAGATGCAAATACTCACCCCTATTCTGTATTTCGTTTCGAACGAAATTCTCATACAAAAAAATATTTTTTTGTATGAGAATTTCGTTCGAAACGAAATACAGAATAGGGGTGACTAGCTAACAGACTAGCTATCTAGAAGACCCAAATAACGTAAAGCTGCATGGCGCCACTTTTGATTCGACATATGAGCAAAGTTCAATCGGCTGCAACCGGTACTTGATCGGAAGAGTAACAACTCAACGTAAATACGTACCAAGAATGTTCTTCTCGACCGCCCTCATGAACTTGTCGATTCTGGTGTAGTGCTTCCGTGGTTCATTCAGCAGTTCGCAGATCCGCTGTATGGTGAAGGGAGCAGAGTTGAACGAATCCATCCGACTCAGCAAGGTCCGCCTCATACGATCGTAACAGAATGGATCAACATTCGGGCACTGTGGCAAATCTGTACAATAATCGAATTCAAAACATTAGTTCATCTTCCATTGAACAAACAATACGATCAACTTTAACCTACCAGCAATGCTCGGTGTATTATCGTGGAAATCCATTATGACAAGACTCAGCTTGGTCCGGAAGAAATACTTCACCGCTGGCCATGGATAAACCGTATCGCCGGTACGAGCGACAAAGCTCAAATAGTCTTCGAGTTCCCGGGGGATTTCCTTTTGTTTCAGTCTCGTAAACCGCTCGAGCATTTGTAGAACTTCGTCCCGATTCTCCATAGCGGACATTTTGTACGGAAAATTTCAGATTTGCAGATTAATTTTACAAAAAACGAACACTGCACACGAGCGTATATCCAAACAAATTCTGATCGTCACACACCGCCATTAAATTGACGTTGAACCCGTTGAACGAGCGAGTTGACGCGGGGAGACTGCCTTTGTGCCGACAAAAGTCTCCACTTCACACAACGGCGCCAGAGTTATGCACTGAAATAAAAGTTCCATTTCTTTTTATATTGTTTTTAGTATTGACCTGACCCCCCTAATAAATTTCTTATGGTTATTTTGCTTAACGACGTGTTTGGGGTATCATCCAAACCATTTGTGGAAAAGTTCGACTATTTGGGTTTTTGTTCGTTTATGGTATTTGTTTATTAGGGCCTCGCACCACCCATCCGTAGTCGCGAGATTTAGTTTCACTGTTGGCGTGACTCTATAAGATTGTATGTATCAATGTTGCAAATCTCTCAGTTCGCAGTGTCATACCCCGTACAGACTTATATCATGTAATATCGAGGGGGACGACTCTATCTACGATGCAGAAAAGATTGTGTTTAGCTGTGGCTAGCTGCACGCAAGCTGAGTAGATAGAAGGAAGATTTATGTCTATTTTGAAGATTTCCTGCAAAAAGATGAAGCGCGATGCAAGTAGCTGCGAGAAATGAAAGATGATTTTTCGAAGATTGATTTGCTAGTGTGAGATTTGTTGAGCATCTAGAATTGAGATTTAGATGTGTCACCCCCCTCGTGTAATATAGACTGTCTTGCAATGAGCACTCATACATAAGATTTCCAGTGAAAACTAGATGTATGATTGATCATTGCAAGACAGCCTATATTACATGATATAAGCCATATAGTATGTACGGGGTATCAGAAAACGATTCAAATTAGTCGATTCTTTGGTCGTCAAATGGACATAAGACCTATTCAAATAGGACTCCAGAGATAGATATAAAAAGTGGTTAAATTTTAAGCATCGGTGAGGATTTTATGCCGACATGTCATGTTAGCCGGTGTCGTGTCTTGTTGATGTTGGTGAATCAAAACATTGGTGAGGCTGTTAGATAATAATATTATTCGTAATCAACACTAAATTTTTGAAGCGGCACAAAAGTTACTGTAAAAATGAGTCTATTGTTGAGAAAACTCGGATCCAGCGTTCTCACCGGTCGGACCAGTTACCTTCTGTCCAGAACGCTTTGCGCGGCTACAGTGGATGCCAAGGAAATCGACAAACTAGTGCATAACAACAAGGTAGTGGTGTTCATGAAGGGTAATCCGGAAGCTCCTCGGTGTGGATTCAGTAATGCCGTCGTACAGATTTTGCGCATGCATGCCGTAAACTACGACAGCCACGATATACTGCAGAGTGATGAATTGCGGCAGGGTGAGTAATGAATGAAAGGTTGCCTGCTCGTTGAATGAACCATCCCGCATTGCCTTGTTTCAGCGATCAAAGACTACTCCAACTGGCCAACGATTCCGCAGGTCTTCATCAACGGAGAGTTTGTCGGCGGTTGCGATATCATGTTGCAAATGCACCAAAACGGAGAACTGATCGATGAGCTGAAGAAGGTTGGCATTAAGAGCGCCCTTTCGGATGCCGAAGGCGCGGACGAAAAGAAGTAGATGGTGATGTTTCCGGTATAATTTTTAAATTTTATTCTAGTGTTGATTCAATAAACTGAATATGCTATCTAATAATAAATTTTTGTGAAAATGTCTTCTGTTGTTTTGAGGTTATGTTTAGTTCGGAACCTTTGCGTGGTTGGGCCTAAACTATATATTTGGCAGACCATGCGCCCTGCTCTAGGACTCGGCCCCCCTTGAGAATATTGCCACTTTTTCCCGCAATTTTATGAACTTGTATCACTAAAAGGTGAAGAAACACTTATTTCAAAGCTTTCTTAACCATTTCAGAAACATGAAGCGACATAATACGGTAAATGTATTACCTTTCGCTCCCCCAAAACAAAGATTAATCTAATATGGCGCATTGAACACATAAGTGCGGAATCGCTAATAAAAGTGCACTTTTACGCTTAATCGTTTTGGTGTTTGTGGTGCATTTATTCCTTGGTTTATAAGGAATAAGTGTGTAGAAGACACCAAGACAATACCACGTAAAAGCGCACTTTTGAGGAGTCCAGTTAGAAATGCAATAAGTATTTCGTAAACAAGTAACGTTGCACCAAGCTTGCAAATGCTCATTACAGTTAAAATGCTATTTTTCGGATTTATGAAGCTATGAGATATTTCAATGATAATTCTTATTTACAAGATGCAAGAAAAGAAGGTAAAGTATGTGTAAGACATATAAAACCTGTCAATTTAGCTTTCAGAGGTATTTTATGATAGCTAGTTGTGATCTTCTTAAAGCAAAATTGCCATACACAAACTTTAAAACCTCTTCTTGCTTCTTACAAATAAAAATAATCATTTTAGTATCCCATAGTTTCATAATTACGAAAACTAGCATTTTTGCTGTAATGAGCAATTCTATAGATAGAGCTGGAATTAGGGCGTAATAGCTTTTGTAAACAATGACTTCTCTTGAGGATTTCTCGAAAGTCATGGCTCTCCCTGGCAAATCGACATCACCATCGAGTTGGTTCACGTAGGCGTGCCTTAAATTCCTAGAAATCAACGAGAGTAGTCATTGTTTACAAAGGCTGTTACGCCCTAATTCCAGCTCTATCTAGAATTGCAAGCCTGCGTTGCACTTATAATTTTCGGCCCCTCAGTGCATTAATCATTGCACCCTGCACTGCAATAAGAAAGCGCTCCAAGGTATGTAACACACTTCTCATTTCCATTCATAACACAAAAGATTTTCAAATATAGATTAAAAGTTACGCTGAATCGCAAGTATAAAAATGGTTCATACATAGATAGAATAAAGTGAATGTATTTATTCGATACATAACCGCTATTTTATTTATATTTAGAGCATGCTTTTTCTGTCAGTTTAATTTACTTTGTTTTTTTTTTAATGCAAATCTAAAATGCTGCAAAACATAACAAAAAAAATATTTTCTTGGTCTAGGTAACTACACAGCAAAAAAAAATGTAATATCGATCAACGTAATTCAAGCTGATGTATGAAATAATGATGTAATAGCAAAAAGCAGATACAATATTACATCAATGGATGTAATTTTGTTCGCAAAATCGATGTACATCGTACAATGTGATATTACTCAACCGATGGATTGACCTGGTTGCAGCAGTTTCGATGTAATATTCAACAACTTTTTTTGCTGTGTATCAACATAGAAATAAATAAGGATATTTATTATAAATCGTTCTGATCCTTGCGTCGTACAAAACCGCTCGAGTTCGAATCCGGTTCACTATCGGACATGGTACTTGTGGACAACCTCCATTGAATCACTACACGAAATGAAAATCAATTATTTTATTCATGTGTTTCACTTATACATTTTTGCCAAAACTTCAGCCTTATACATTCCATAAGACAAACGACATAGGTCCTATAAGAATGCATAAAAGGTATGTGTGACCGTTTATACATTTCATTTGACACATGATCTTCATTAACTTTTTACAAGGCGTCTGCTTATTAGTTGGCTTATACATTTTATGAATAATCAGCAATAGAAATTTTCCAAAAGGTATAAGGAGATTTCTATCCGTGTAGCCAGCACTAATTAGCCCGGTGCAGTACAGCTTCTAGAACGGGGGCTTGTTGAACAAGGCCGTTGAAATGACCACCAACAGCCACGCGTCTTATCGATTCCCTCGCCAATGAAGTCAGCCGGTAAGCTGGAAATTCACAGCATTCTCAAACGGATAGTGATTCTGTGTGAAGGGCATCGAACCGGACTCGAACCAGCAATCACTGCGGATAATTTGCCAGGAAAGTCGACGGGATTTCAAAGTGGTCGATGGCCCTATGGAGAACGCTCATTCGCACACAGGAGTACTTATCCAGCTCTTCAATGCTTACGATGGCCAGTGGAAGAAATCCACGGTGATGACAGTGTTCCTGAGTATTTCTTCTACAAATACTTGCTGGATGGGAATACTGAGCCAAATATAATTCAAGTGATTCATCTAAAGTATTCACTAGTATCTTAAGAAGACTTTTGCATACTCAAACATCTTGGCTTATTGTTTTAAAATTGTCTGATTGTTTTTTTGACGTAGGACTACGTCTGTGATTTCTATATGGGGGTACACTTTGTGAAAACCGAAAATGGAACATGTAGCAAAATTATGAAAAATTTTGAACGTTAATAACTCAGCAGCCCCTGGAACAATTTAAATTATTTTATCACCAATCGATCAGATATATTTCTACGCATCTGTTTAATTTAAGACTTTATCGGTTTTCAAAATTTTACTATTGATTGCCTGCGAAAAGCGATTTCCCTAACACAGATTTCAATGTTAAATTCCATCCGGTTTCAATCACCGCGTGGTGAGTGGTGGTGTTCTCCAGTACCTACATAACGAAAGACTACCTGCAAGCAGCGAGCTGCAGTCCACATGAGCATCCAAGAAGGAGGAAGAAGCCACACCGCTATTGATCGGAATCAGTAGCTCTTCGTGAGTTGCTGTGGGCCATCTATGTCAAGCGCGTCCAGCGCGTCCAGCGCGTCATACTAATGAGTATAAACCCCGCTCAAATTCCTATTCCTACACAAAACACAAGCTCCTGCTGCAGGTAACAAATAAGATTTATAATATAAGACCACGTAGTCCTACGTCACCATTGCGTACAACCCCATAGGGCTGTCCATTGTAGTTTTTTAACTTCATCATCGTCTTCTCGTGCAGGAGCATGGAAGTAAATGACCTTCCGGTTTGAATCAGACGTAATCTTCGAAGTGTACTGAAGGTTATCCGTCTTCTTGACCCGTTCAAATCAGGTTCGATCGTGGGGTTATCGTCGGTCTATTCCTCAACTGGTTCGCATTCGGTTCTATGGTTCTATTGTCGTCATAGTAGGACAATTGACGCACTCGTCACGCCTCTTCGCCGAACACACGTTGTTAATGATCCGTCGGACCGGCGCCTACGATATAGCGGTTCGTCTTCTCGTGCAGGAGCTTAGAAGTGAATGCCTTCCGGTTCTAATCAGACGCGATCTTCGAAGTGCGCTGAAGAGGATCCATCTCCTTAACCCGTTCGAATCAGGTTCGATTGTAGGGGAGCGTCGGTGTCATCGTCGGTCTATTCATCAGCTGGTTCGCATTCGATTCCATCGTAGTCATCGTAGGACCATTGACGCACTCGGTTGGTAGATGAACGGTACCATATGATATTGATGATATTTTTTTCAATAGTTTCAATGACTTCCTTCTTCCCACACTCAAATTTAGCACACTGTGCGGATTCTTCATTGCTGCTAAGTGCCCACAAACCGAGCCACAAACCATGCATATTTTTTGAACGCTAAATTGTTTCGCAACATTCATAAATAATATATTCCGCATGTTTTTTTTCACTCACTGGGTCCGTATTTGATGACACTCTTTTCTCCGCAAAAATCAGAAGAAATACTCTGCAGCTATGATCGTCATTTTGTTGTGTGCAGGAAATATCATCAGACTGCCACTCTTCTTTATCGCCAAATCCACCAGTTTTCGTAAGCACTACTACATCCAGCAGTGGGTTAACACCGAGGTTAACACACTGTTTTACAGTTTTGGGTGATGCTCTGCGCAGTGCATGGGTCAATTTTTTGCCATTTATATCCAATGATATAAGGTAATAATGCCGACCACCATCACCCCGACGCCGCGGGTTCACTCCATTGATGGGTTGGTTGTCAATCGATCGACGACCGCATTCACAGAAGAACAATTGACACACCTCAACAGGGGACTAGGATACGCGGTTACAACCAAGCTAGACGTGAAGCAGATCATCATTGACGTGGAGACAGCGATTATCGAGACACTTCCAACAACATCACAGAATACGGTTAGGACTATCACATCGAACATAATCAAGGACGGACAGGACGGACGCGCCAACGAAAAAGAAATTCGGATTGTAAAGGAGCTAAAAAGTAAAGCAGTATACTACGTAAAGGCAGACAAGGGAAACGCGGTCGTTATCATGGACAAGGACGATTACGATAATCAAATGACAACGAAGATTAACAACGGACCGTATAGACAGCTTCGAGTAGACCCCTTACAGAACATAGTGAAACGCGTGGAGAAAGCACTGAAGGAGTGCAAATCGATATTAGGAGATGGAGCAGGTCGTATACGGGAACCCAATCCCATTCTACCCAGGATCAAAGGTCTTCCCAAAGTCCACAAACCAGGAAATGAAATGCGAGAGATCGTGTCTGCAGTTGGTTCCCCCACCCACAAACTAGCGAAGTGGCTAGTCAAAGAGTTCCAGAGTATGCCGAATCAGTTCCAGAGTAAAGCAGTTAGTAACACCCAGGAGTTCACCCAGCAACTACAATCTTCAGGAGACATCAACGAGGACGAGATTATGGTATCTTTCGACGTCACAGCTCTTTTTCCCAGCGTACCGGTCAAGGAAGCGATCAACCATTTGGAGGACTGGCTATTAACACAACGAGAGGATGCAGCATGGAGAAACAAGGTTCGGACGTACCTTAAGCTGACCCGCCTTTGTATGGAAGAGAACTACTTCTCTTTCCGAGGTAACTTCTACAAGCAGACGAAAGGAGCCCCAATGGGAAACCCCCTATCCCCCTTCTTGTGTGAACTTTTCATGGCCAACTTGGAGACAATCCTGAAGGAGAAAGGATTATTACCAAACCGTTGGTGGAGGTTTGTTGACGATATCTTCAGCGTAGTTAAACGGGAAGCCCTTCCACAAATTTTAGATGAGATCAACAGAATTCATAAGGATATCAAATTCACTCACGAGGTAGAAAAAGACGGGAAACTCGCATTTCTCGATCTTCTAGTCATCAGGGAATCGTCATCATCTTCCTCGCTTGAATACGAAATTTACAGGAAACCAACAAGCACCAAAAGAGTTATCCCCTATACTTCCAACCATTCGTTCCAGCAGAAAATGGCCGCCTTTCACCACATGATTCACCGAATGCAGACCCTTCCACTCAGCGATACAGGAAAGGTTAAGGAATTACAGTACATCTTCGAAACAGCAAGACTCAACGGATACAAGGAGACCACAATCCAGGCAATCATCGATAAAAAAGCGAGAATTCTACAAAGGAGATTATTTACAACCCTCACCACAGCACCTGAACCATTGAAACGAGTGTCCGTTCCATTTGATCAAGATATTACTTGTAAACTAAGACCACAGTTAAAACAATTCGGATTAGATTTAGTTTTCACCAGTAGACATAACCAGTTGAAATCATTGTTAGGATCCACTAAAGACCCAGTTAATGTTTTAGGTAAAGCAGGTGTATATAAAATAAGCTGTAATCATTGTAACAAAGTATATGTAGGACAAACCAAGAGAACTTTAGCAACTAGATTTAAAGAACATATAGCGGAGGTTAATAAGGCCAAAAAGCAAGAAGAAAAGGGCCTAACATATGATTTCAAATCAAAGGTTGCAGAACACATCTTCACAGAGGACCACCAACTATCGACGGAGGACATAACGATTTTACGAACCGTATCTACACCATGGAAATTGGATGTTGCAGAAAGCCTCGAGATCAACAAACAACGTAATTCAACTTTACTCAACAGGGATCAAGGAAACGGACACACATGGCTTTTCAAGTTACTACCTAGGACACATCAACGAGTAAGCAGCGGAGTACCTGTTCCTATAGAAAATTAAATTTAAGTTTACCTAGTTTCTAAGTGAAAATGTACCTGTGTTAATATATATTCGGTAAATGCGATGTTTTTCTTCAGTCGAGTATTAGTACAAGACACTGAAGAAGTCTGCACATTGTAGACGAAATACGCGTATCTGTCAAGGATAAGCAAATAAAGTAGTGGAATTAAATGGAAAATACTAATCCTTCTCTCTCTCATTATACAGGTATTCCACTAAGACGCCCACATTCATCAGGATATATCTGATCACGCCTTCCTTCGGATGGGAAGTAAAGCCGTTGGTCTCCGGTTCATGAGTTGTGATGGGTCGATAGGTAGGGTCCAGGTGTGGGAGCTGCCTTCCTGGCACGTCGGAAGCATTGGTGCTCAGAACGGAAAACAAGATCGACGGAAAAAAAACAAACCAAAGGAAAAAAAAAAACGTTACATTCACTTTCGAATAAAATCTTGGTGAGTATCGAATCTTTGATATAGTATTTGGGATACCCATCCAGCAAGTATTCGAAAGGGAAAATTAAAATTTATTTTAAGAACTCCTCTCTGAAGTAAAAAAAAAAAACAATCAGACAATTTTAAAACAACTAGCCATGTTAATGTTTAAATGTCTTGTTTTGTTACTCTAGAATATTCTTGGTTAAGAACTGGAATGGTATTTCACTTGGTTTTCCCACCATAAATGGTTAAATTATATGTAATATGGTTGAAAGTTTGAAAGTTTATTTAGCACAGTTGTTCGATTTACGCCGTGAAGTATGCAATAGTTAATGTATTATGCATGCTGGATGATATGGCACTGGATGGCTTCCTGTATACTAGAAATTAGTACATGCTGGATTGAAATTAATTAATGTTCATCCCGTGATCATTGGATTCTTCGTGACATTTTAAATTTCCTAATATTGACAAATTATTCTTGATAGAGCTGAAATAAGGGCGTAACAGCTTTTGTAAACATCTATAATATAGATTTAAAAAAAACTCTCGATGATTTCTAGGTATTAATTATATGATTTGAGCAGTAGCTATACTGAATATCCGAGAGATGTCGCCCCTTCAGTGGTAGGAAAATCATTTTTGCAGTATGGAGAATATTAGAAAATCCACGATTTGTGACTAAACATGCTTTCACAGAAGGAAACAAATAAACGAGTGTTTACCTTATCACCATAGTAATGTACTCGTGCAATTTTTGTGCACCTAAAACTGCCCATAAAGACGATAATGAATAAAAACTGAAAATTTTCATGCATTTCTAAATGGTTTCCTACCATTCCCATACATTCGAAGTGACTGGCCCTCTGGATGTGGATGATGATGTCAAAAACAACAAAACATGATTAATTCAAGGCACGTCCACGCAAACCAACATAACCATCGGAAGTCGTCTCCTACCTGATGGTGATGTAGATTTTCCGTGGGCTGGACTTTCTAGAAATCATCGAAAGAAGTCATTGCTTACAAAAGCTGTTACGCCCTAATTCCAGCTCTATCTAGAATTTACTTAACTGAAACTTCTTCCTGTTAGCGAACTTTGAGTTAAAAGACGATTCAGTGAAAAGTCTTTTAATTAGCGAACACTAAAGTCAAATGACAGAAAAAGGAGGAAGAAAACGAAGAAAACATAAAGAAGGAACTCAACGTTATCAGAACTATTTAAAAATGATTCCTGCGGTCCTACGCACATTCTTGTGCATCTGGAGAACTCTATTCGGCGAAATGACCTTCAAAATACGCAATAAACTAGCAAAAATAGAAGAAAGTACAAATTTCTTCTCATTTAAGTTTCTATTCTATTTAATAAAAATTTCCACGCTCTCCTCTATCTCATCAAATACAAGAACACATATATGTATTCATTCAAGTATGATTGATTACTTACGTATACGTTCAGTGTTACGATGCCGGCAAAGCAACTGTACGCACACCCATGTGATTTTTCTTACTTCCATTCTTTTAAGGTGTCTACACACATGAGCGTGATCAGCGTGAGCGGAGCGGGATTTGCGTTGGTATGAGAGAGATAACTACCCTCGTAACGCAAGCAAAAAGTATGTTAATTATCTTTTCCGCAATACATATATGGTTGATAGACGGGGCCTCCCTTATTAGCTCAGTCGGTAAAGGCGCAGCTACAAAGGAAGACCATGCTGTAGGTGGCTGGATTCGACTCCCGCCCTAATAAAATGTGTAAGGTTATTTTGCTTAACGACGTGTTGAGGGTATCATCAAACCATTCGGGTCTGGTATTTATTTATTAGGGCGGTCCGGTCTAGCAATTGTACAGGTTTGAAAATTTTTCGGCTTCCCGTGGCATAGATTACGATTGTACTTGCACATAATTATACTAATGCAAAAGTGGTACAGGCATCGAATGCCTTCAATTAATAACTGTGAAAATGCATCTAGTTGAGAGCACGCAATAAGCTAAAATGTGATATACATCAATCTTGAAATGGGAAGCAGAAAAAGAATATGATAGACGACTCATATAAATAGTATGTTGGTATATTGATGGTACCTTTACCTCTTTCATAACAACGCAATTCTCGCTCCTCTCACGCCGGGCACGCTCATGTATGAAGATAGCATTAAAACCAGGCATAGAATACGCGATAAGTGATAAACATATAAATATGCACACCAGTACAGTGTTTTTTTATATGGGAGGCTCGCGCGTATAGCAACGAAAACAAGTTTTGATCAACGTTCGCCTACTGGTGTTGACGAAAATGCTGTACGCAAACTGGGGGTCTGGCCGGTCGACGTCGCCTTTGGTTGGCGCAGTTCCTTTCCAATCATCATCCCAGGTGGCGGTGCGGCACGGTGTTTTCTCTCATTTGCGTGGATATTTGATTTCGTTCTAGAGAATCTGCGACAAAATGGCTCTAGTCAGATTGCTAGGTGTGGAGGTATGTACATATTATTGCAATCGTTGTGCATCTCGAGATGGTGTTGATTAGATTCTTAGGGGAGAAAGAAAATGCAAGGTGATTGAGTATTATCAGTGCAAATTATGTAACGTGGATTTCTTTTTTGGAACTTCGTCGGTCAGTGCGGACGACGGCATGTTCGCATGCTAGTGTGGAAAATATTTATAGAAATGTTTAAAAAGTGTTTGTTCCCGAAAGTCGTATGATTTTGCTACGAAAAAGACGTAGTCTGGGTTCAAGGTCAGTCAAATTCGCACCACAGGCTCGTGGGCACCATGAGCATTACACGCTAGCTTTAAAGAGTAGATAAAATTAAAGCAGATATATGGTGATATCAAGTTGAGATTTGTTCAATTCAACATGTGAGCGATAATATTTAAATTTAGGTTTGGTAAAAATTGACATTTTGAAACATGTGAGCCGGGATGGAATGGCAGTAAGTAACTGATAAGACGTTCAGTTACCTATGAGCGACGGCAGCGAAACATTTATAAGGTACACTGGGGGAAGTGGGTCCGTAAAAACCAACAGTTACGTTCAAGGGTCGCAAAGGCCAATATTGTGTACATCGAATTTAAATCTTGTGGTAGGGTTCAACTCGTATGTCAGTCCCAAAAACAATGTTGAAATATTAGACATGGGTTTACTATGTGAAAATTGGCCACATGTTGTGATTACTTGCCATGAGCTGGATTAACAATTTAATGGTTTCAAAATTGAATTAAACATTGATGGACAGAACACACACATAGATGGAGAATCCACCTATCAGGGACAAAACCACTGTACTCCTGCATTGAATTTCCATAACGATGAAACGTATAAGGTCTCTTTACTCTGATTGCCATAGAAAAAAATCAGCAAAATTGGCGATATACAAAAGAAACTAAATTTGAAGAATGGAAGACTAAATTTGAATTCCTGCTTGATGATGAAATGATGATTTTGTAAAATATCGCTGAAATAGATTTATTGTTCAAATTTCTTCCAAATTCTTATGCATTGCATATAATTAAACAAAAACTTCCACATTCTAGTGGAAATCAGTTAGAATTAATAAGATTTCTGTCACACAAGCAAATGACCCCACTTACCCCAGGGTACCTTACATAACATCTGACTTTTGACGCATGCAACGAATTTTCTCGCAAAGCAACTACATACCGAAATGCAGATCGCAGTAAAACAGTTCGGTCGTTACATGGGCAGGGCAGTGCCAGTTGAGTAGTAAACAATTTGATTGAATTAATTTAGAATTTTTCATTCGATCATGGTAGCCTGTTCCACATGGAGTGATGTTATGCAACGATATCATGACCTTGCCTCCGATGGTTACTGAGACGCATTTGAATTACAAAAGTGGATCAATTTGAATAAGTGCAGCTCGGCTTGAACTCGGTTGTGACCTGTACCTTTCGATATCCTATCAGACCCAGTAGGCTACGCAAATACTGAGAAGCTCAAGGTTGGTTACTACGATGTACCTTCAATTGGATACATTTTTAGGATGACATTGGAACGAATAACAACAACAAAGTGCGTTTCATAATTTTCTTTGGCGTAAATATTTTTACTGAAGAGATTCTCTTTTTTCACGGAATCATTCAGTTCCATGGTATACAGCCAAATATATATTTCAAACTCGATGTAGGTAATTTGTGTAAAGTTGAGGGTCGTAAAATTAATTAATTTTATTTATATTTCGTGCCACCGCCACGCCCTTTCAAAAATTAAGATGTTGAAGGAACAAAACAAGTTATATCTGAAGAGCTTTGAGTGGGTTGGTTTATTTCCTTTAAATTCCGTCTACTACTTGCAGACTTCATCAGTGCCAAGTACTCAACACCACCAGTTATGCGATCATAGCTAGAATACTAGCTAAGATCTGTTTATTTTTAAATGGTATAGGTATTTAGATTTGTTTTCTAGCGTGTTATTTATCTTTTGCCCTCCTTGTATCGGCATTATTGTATGAAAAAGTAGAAAAACAAATACTCTACTCAAATCATACCGACTTGAAATTGTAGATTCAAATCTTATGATGATTGTAAAGAGAAATCCGAGTAATTTTGCGAAACATTCCAAGTGAGTTTTGATTTAACTTCCAATGTAAAGATTCCAAAGGAAATAGGAAGGAGAATTCATAGAGAATTTATTGGAAATTCTGAGGATAGTTCAAAAAGAATTATAATGACTAATGATTGTGAAGGAGAATTCTATGGAGAATATCATGAAAAATATAAGGATTATACAGAGGAATTTAATGAACAATATAAGGATAATTTATTTTAATTCAGAAAAGAAATATATTTGATGATACTTTAAGGAGAATTTAATGAACAATATAAGGATAATTTATTATAATTCAGAAGAGAAATACATTTGATGATACTTTAAGGAGAATTACAAGGGAATTCTGGTGTGAACTCCAAGTGAATTCAGAGGAGGACGCTATAGGGTTTTTATGAGTAGCACTTCATTTTCTGGGACTTCCAAAGGAAGAAAATTGCAAGGTAATTTAGAGTGAATAAATAGAGAATAACAAGGAGAACTCACAGGAAATTTTCAGAAGACTTCAAAGATAATTCTGTTAAAAAAATCCAAGACCAATCTGAGGTGGATAATTCTCCAAAGAAATGTTAAGGAGAATTTTGGATAACAATTTTAAGCGGAGGGATCTTTTAACAGTTCGAGGATAATGAAGTACACACTTAATCTAGCTCGGTAAAATCTCCAACAGCCGATTACCTCGGCATTTAATTTTCCTGATATCTCTGCAAATTATCTGTTTGTTGTCTGTTGATACCTCAGCTAAATGTTATTTGTTAGCTGAGTCTCGGAAATTGTTTTACTGAATCTCATCAAAATCTGGCTGTTGAAATCTCGGCGAAAAAAATTAAGTGTGTATGATTTCCAAGAGTTTTCTGGGGTGAAATCCTACAGTGTCCTTCAGAAAATTTCATGAGTGATATGGATCAACTTAAAAGGGAGAAAATCCCAAGATGAAATTCAATTAATTTCACAGACAATTCTGAGCATTTTGTTGTTGCGATCTGGACTTAAAAGAATGTGAGATTTAAGATCCAGGGATACCTGCTTTATTCAAATCTAACACATCATTTGAGATTCCGACATTCTGAGACATGAAAAAATTTCTAGATTTTGGACTCAAAAACATTTTTTTTTAAACTATAAGACGGAAATGTTTGAGTCCTATGACAAATGATTTCCCGAACTTAGTGAAAATTTGAAATTCCAGATCTGGGAATGATTCATTCGAGTTTCTGCTCTCTATTTTGAATCCTGGCTACAGCCTCAATACCTCATAAACGAAAAAATATTCAAAAAAATGTATTTTTGATGGAACACTGGAATACATTAATGTTGAATGTAGATCTTACATTCAAGTTACATTTTAATACTTTCTGTAACTGATGTATTTTTGATTTTCCAGAATATATCATTCATATATTTCTCCATTCTCTCTTCCAGTGCCGCAATGCGCTGCAACGCAGCTACTGTACCGCTTCAGTCCCGACGACCAAGATGTTCATCGATGGTAAGTTTGTCGACTCGAAGACCACCGACTGGATTGACCTGCACGATCCAGCCACCAACGAGGTAGTCACGCGCGTCCCCAAGTGCACCAAGGATGAAATGGAATCAGCAGTGGAATCCTCCAAGAAGGCTTTCAAGGTACGTATGCACCGTGTTGAAAAGGTCTTCATTTGTTCATCTGTTTGAAACTTTCCACAGACCTGGAGCCAGACTTCTATCCTGGGCCGGCAGCAGGTGATGTTCAAACTGCAGCACTTGATCCGGAACAACATGTCTGATCTGGCCAAGAACATCACCAAGGAACAGGGCAAGACTCTGGTTGATGCTGAGGGTGATGTCCTCCGTGGATTGCGTAAGTCTAATATGCTGTGCTTGTTGAGCTTGAATTCTAACTGTTTCATTGTTCATTCCACTTTCACACAGAGGTCGTTGAACACTGCTGCAGCATTACGTCGCTGCAGATGGGCGAAACCGTTTCCAATATTGCCAAGGACATGGATACCTACTCGTACACTCTGCCATTGGGTGTGACTGCCGGTATTTGCCCGTTCAATTTCCCAGCCATGATTCCGCTGTGGATGTTCCCAGTTGCCATTACCACCGGTAACACCAGCATCATCAAGCCTTCGGAGCGTGTTCCCGGAGCTACCATGATGTTGATGGAGATGCTTAATGAGGCTGGATGCCCACCAGGTGTCGTCAACGTCATTCACGGAGCACATGATGCTGTTAACTTTATCTGTGACCACCCGACAATCAAGGCTGTATCGTTTGTCGGATCCGACCAGGCTGGCAAGTACATCTACGAACGTGCGGGACGCAACGGTAAGCGTGTCCAATCGAACATGGGTGCCAAGAATCACGGTGTAATCATGGCCGATGCCAACAAGGAGAATACTCTGAACCAACTTGCTGGAGCTGCCTTCGGTGCCGCTGGTCAGCGTTGCATGGCTCTGTCGACTGCTGTATTCGTCGGTGAAGCTAAGCAATGGATTCCAGATCTGGTGGAGCGCGCACGCAAACTGAGGGTCAACGCTGGACACGTTCCCGGAACTGATGTCGGTCCAGTGATTTCCCCACAGTCCAAGCAGAGAATCAACGATTTGGTTGAATCCGGCGTCAAGGAAGGTGCTAAGCTCGTTCTGGATGGACGTGACATCAAGGTTGAGAACTTCGAAAACGGCAACTTTGTAGGACCAACCATTCTGACCGAAGTTCAGCCAAACATGAAGTGCTACACTGAGGAAATCTTTGGCCCGGTGTTGGTGTGTCTGACGGTTGACACCTTGGACGAAGCTGTTGAACTGATCAACAACAACCCATACGGTAACGGAACCGCCATTTTCACCACCAACGGTGCCACCGCGAGGAAGTTTGTAAACGAAATCGACGTCGGTCAGGTCGGTGTGAACGTTCCGATCCCAGTGCCATTGCCGATGTTCTCGTTCACTGGATCTCGAGGCAGCTTTATGGGCGATTGCCACTTCTACGGCAAGCAGGGTGTCAAATTCTACACCCAGACCAAGACTGTGACCCAGCTGTGGCGTGAGGGAGATGTTTCCCACACCAAGGCTTCCGTGGCGATGCCAACCATGAAGTAAGCTCGGGAAAATAACGTCGCGCGAATTGCGAATCGGGTTTGTGTCTTCCAATCAAATGAGAACTGCGTGCATTTACTAGATTAACGAGAATTCATATTCTGCATTTACGATATCTGATATTCAGTTTTAATAAAACAATTGTCTCTATGCTAAAAATGTTAAACTGGCGTTTTGCTTGGCTTGTTCGAAATTATTCACTTGTTGTCCTTCTACCAGGGATTTTAAGAAAATGAGGCAATACATTCCAGACTTTCAGGTCTTCCATAACTAAAACCCCATTTTCTTTAAGATCAAGAAGAAAACATTTCATAATATTACTGCGTGGTAATGTTGTTATGTAAATAGTATTTTTGGATATTTGGTTCAACCTTCTTCTCGGTCTCGTGTATGGCAGTTAGGTTGTTACATTTGCTGGTTAAAATTAGTGTCCCTGATTTATAAGTACAACTGAATGTTACGTGATAGTTTTACGCCACTTACATTATGGATACAACATTGCCGTGCTCTTACGTCGCTGACCATGAATAATTTTACCACCTGTTAAGATGTGAATTTTTCTTAAACTCAAACTTAAATTTCTAACTGATTCAATTCTACTTGATTTTGTTTGAAAAATCGTTTGAAATATGAATCATACGTCATTCGAGCAGTTCTAAAAAACGTTTCCTACCACTCGAACCTTGCCGTGGAACGTTATTTTGAGTTTTTTTTCTCTTCTGAAACCTCGAGGAAATAGGGTCTTATTTATGCTCTCCCTAAAAAATCAGAAATTTGTAGTCTCATTTTCTTAAAACCTCGGGTAGAAGGTCGTCCTAAAATCGATCTACTATGTGATTTTGTAAGTATTCTCACTCAAGTTCACTCAATGGATCATATCATGGAGCAGTTTAAAATTACGTTTCCTACCACTCGATTTTTTTTCCGTGGAATAATATTTTTTTCTTCTATAATCTCGAAAAAATAGGGTATTATTTATTCTTAGCTTAAAAATCCGGAAATTATTGTTTTATCTTCATAAAATCGCTAGTTCGTCCAAAACTTCTCGACAATATGATAATATGAAAATACGTTTCCTACCACTCGATTTAAATAAAAAAAAATTAAATCTTTATGAACGAGATTTTTATTAATATGATTGATTCTGTTTTTAGAGGATTTTTTTTTGCATTTTGCTCTCTTGCAGGATGGGGATGCAGGGGATTTTTAATACCACCAGAATTTTCTTTGATTTTTAAAAAATAAGTTGGAAATAATCTCTCATTTAATTCGGTTACAATTTGAGATCACACGATCGAAAACAGAGGGGAGTAAATCGCACCTCCATTCTAATATACAATAACAACTGTTATTTTTTTTTAATTTTGAAACATATATCGGTTTGTATAGATCAGCTGAAAGAGCATCTTTTTCTGACCACAACGATATCGTTTTCGAATCCATAGACTTTCATCTCGATTTTTAAATCAAGATTTAAAGCAAAATAATAACTTCGCTTTTTGACACTAAACTAACAAATTGACAGCTCGCTTCCATTGAAAGTCCCATCGAGTGGCGCTCAGATGATAATTTTGTAATCAAACTTATTTAAAATAGTTCCTGTGCACCAAAATTGATGAACTTTTGAATTAAGGTTCCATTTTGAATGCAGATTACGAATATGCATTCACTTCAATTGGCGTTGACGGCGACTCTGTAGCTCTTTACTCCTATGAGAAAATCCATAAGCAAAAGTCAGACTGTGCGTGAAACATGGTGGTCTTTGTACTATCCTTTCACTCCACCGAAAATTCCCATAAGAAACTGTCTAAATTTGCTGGTAGAGCAAATTTTTCGACGGTGCCGTCAACGCCAATACCCTTGAAGAACACAATTCAGTGCCAACATTTCAAAGGGGCGTAATTGCTTTTGTAAACAATGGCTTTAGACGTCGATTTCTCACAAATGAAAACCCACCCCTCCAAATTACAAATGCTAGCTGATACAGGACACATTCGTCTGCGTGCTGGTGTCATTCATTGTCATGAGTGAGCTTTCATTCGCGAGAAATCGACGACTAAAGCCATTGTTTACAAATGCAATTACGCCCCTTTGAAATGTTGGCACTGAATTGTTTGAAAATACGTTTATTGCGCTGTTGGAATTTGACTTCAACTGTTGCGAAGATTTTATAACAAGTCAACATTTTGTCAATGACTAAACGTAATTTTTGGCTCACTGTTTTTTCAAACATCTTTATTCGCTGTAGAAAGTGTCGTGCGACCAAATGATGTTGCTGCATCTTATGATACGCAACATGATGAACACATACACAACGCCAATCTGATCAAACTGATGCACTCTTACCCAATCAGCTGTTTAACTTTGTGTGCGTGCTATTATTTCTCGGGAGAGAGGGCGTTTTTTCTCTCTGATTTTTTGACAGCTCGGATCAAAACAAATTTATTATCAAAACTTTTTCTACACCAGAAGCAACCTTTACTGTTTTCTTAATCGTTTGAAATAATTTGTGATTCGGCTACATTTATTAGATTTGCACCATGCACGAAGCGTATATCCTCTATCCGCCGGAGAAGATTCCGGTCCAGATTGAATCGATGACGGGATTTGGTGAGTGGAATTAGCTTATTACAAAAATTGTTTACATCAGGACGATGATTCATCGTCGAAGGAAATTCAGTGTTTTGTTGATTTGGAAAAATAATTGATAACGAAATTTACGTTGAGGCGATTTTCTGGATGATTATCACAAACTGCTTTCATTAAAAAATATAATCGAATTTTGTTTCACTGAGTCGCATAACAACACTCGATGATGGTCAGAGATGTCTCCACCGTTGTAAGTTCATCAGTCGTTGAGTACCTGTATCAAATAATTACTCCTCTACATGATAACTGACCCGAAGAAGTGAAGAAACTGGTTCGGAACATGAAAAATAACAAATCTTCGAGACTGAATCAGATACACAACTGCGTCTTAGATCACATGCCACAGATTCTGTGGGATTTAATTTTCCTCATAACCAACCAGTTCCAACCCAGTGCGAAATCGAAAGTTTTGTAAGTGCGAACCTCAACCTGAGGTAGGTTGTAAAAACAAACGAACAAACTGACGGTACCCCCCGATCCCGGTTTGAACTAAATAATAATAATAAACCGCTATTTGTAAAGCTTGCAAATGCTCATTACAGCTAAAATGCTATTTTTCGGATTTATGAAGTTATGAAATATTTGAATGATAATTATTATTTACAAGATGCAAGAAGAGAGGGTAAAGTGTGTATATGACACATAAAACCTGTCAATTTGGCTTTCAGAGGATCACAATAGCGATTAGCTATAACGATGAGCGAGCAATCAGCGATCATAAAATCGCTAGCTGTGACCTTCTGAAAGCAAAATTGACAAATTTTGTATGTCATTCACAAATTTTACCATCTATTATTTCTTGCTGCATACAAATGTTAATTACAATTATTATAGTATCTCATAGTTTCATAATTACGAAAAATAGCATTTTAGCTGTAATGAGCAATTGCAAGCCTTTTTGTAACTTCTTAAAGATAACTGGCTCTTTAGCGTTCCCCCACGGTGCAGTATTATACCCCGTATACACTATGGCTTAAATCATGTAATGTAGGCTGCCTTGCAATGAGAACTCATTCATCTAGTTTTCACTGGAAATCAAATGTATGAGTACTCATTGCAAGGCAGCCTATATGCCATGATATCAGCTATAGTCTGTATGGGGTATGAACGTAGTATTAAAAAATCATGGTCACCGTAAGTTTATGTACTCGTGAAGAAGTCATTAGGAGTTGTTATTAACTACATAGACAGTTTTTTTTTGGATTCTTGACCCCCCCCCCCCCCTTCCCCTGCCTAGACAATTGTCCAAACAATTTTTTTTTAAATTTGTATAGGCCGTGGATAATTAACAACCCCCCCCCCCCTAAACTGTCTACGTAGTTTATGGACAGCCCCTTAGGTGTGAGATTAAAACTGATAGCTTACAGTAAGTTAGTAGGTGATCCACAACTTTTCGGTACGTCTTATGTTTGTCAATCTACCATTAAGTAGTCAATACTTATTTAAGCTTCTCCGTGTGCTCATTATTCTCGTCCATATGTGCTATTAACAAATCAACTTAACAACTATTGAAAAATAATTAAAATATTATCGATTTTAATGAACATTTTTTTATGAATTCGATTATTTTTGGCTGTGTGGATCTTCTTTTGGTCTAAGTAGCATTTTACATACCGTGTGATGCCCGTTCAATGCTCACTTTAGAGCAAAATCAAGTTCGCATCGCTAGTAAAATTACTTTTCACAAATATATTGAGTATATTTTTGCACTAGCTTGAACGTCATTATCATAAAATTATGGATAAAATGTAAAACATCCAAAACAATGCTGTTAAAATTGATTTCGAGACATATTAGTGCATGTAACCAGGGGTCCCATTTACCGCTCATGTCGAAGTGGAAATATTGCTTATCGAATTGCCCATCTTTTCAGGCAATTTATCGCATTATATGGATTGTGTTTTGTTAATTTATTTATTTATTTATTTTGTTTTTCTTCATCGGACTTAACGTGTCTAAATGAAGCCTGATGGGGAAAAGCCTTGAAAAGCCGTAAAAACCCCATATCTTTCGAAATACATGAATCACAATAATACAATACAATTACAACGAACATTAATGAAGTCCTCCTATGGCATAGAGTTGTCTGTGAATCAGGTAGAAGTCCTCGTCATGCAGTTGAACCGGAAACGAAAAATAAACAGGTAGCACAATCCTTCACGTGTACATTAAATGAACAGCTACTCACCTTCTCAGGAGTCTCAGGAGCGTTGAATACGGTGACGAAAGGTTTCCGCTGCACAGTTAAAGTCGAAAAACTCGTAAAACTCGTTGAAACGCCCAGACATGAACCGTATTGGGTCATGCAAGCTGTAGTTCGCAGCACGAGGTCCAAGATGCAGCAAACTCCTCGACCGAAGAACTCGTTCGGGTGCGTAGATTCCGAATTCAGCCAAGATTCCTGGAGAGTCGATATCACCAATAAGTACTTTTGCTGCGATCACGGCCTGACTAATCGTCCGCCTATGTTCTAGTGTTTCAAGACCCAGGAGTTGACAACGATCTCCGTACGGCGGAAGGTTCACAGGGTCATTCCAAGGAAGGTGACGAAAGGCATACCGAACAAATTTCCTTTGAACAGATTCAATCCTCGCTATCCAAACTGCTTGATACGGGCACCATACTACCGAGCTGAATTCCAAGATCGATCGCACTAGAGAGCAGTATAGAGCTTTTAGACAGGCAGGATCGCGAAACTCGTCAGCGATCTTGAAAATGAACCCGAGTTGCCTGTTAGCTTTCGCAACGATGCCCGAGTAATGAAGCTTGAATGTTAAGGCGCAGTTCAGCGTGATTCCTAGGTCACGAACATTGTCCACACGTTGCAGAAGTTGGTGATTTATCGTATAGTTGAATGCCACTGATTTCAGCTTGCGATGAAATGAGATAATATTACATTTGTGTACATTCAACGTGAGATAGTTTCTTGAGCACCACTCTTCGAAAGTATCGATTAGGTGCTGAAGCCGCAAGCAATCGACGAAGCTACGAAAAATCACATAGATCTTCACATCATCCGCGTAGAACGATCGGCAACCAGTTGGGAGGATCAGTCGGGCCTCATTCACAAAAATCGAGAATAGCAATGGTCCCAAGTTGCTACCTTTAGGAACACCGGAGCTGTTTGTAAAATAGTCCGATTGCTCTGATCCGATTCTAACACAAAGTTCCCGATTGGTGAGATAGGACTTGAACCAACGAGTTAAACCCGAAGATACACCGAGTTTTTCAAGTTTAGCTAGCAGTATGGAGTTGACCGGTCCAATGCAGCCTTAAGATCTGTATATACAACCTCCACCTACGCTCCAGCTTCCATACTCCGAAGACATAAAGAAATGAACGGAGCTAGCTTTGTTGAAACTGATCTCTTGCGATAAAAACCGTGTTGGTCAGGAGGAATGTAATTTCTGCAGCTAGAGAATAATGCGTCGTTGATGATGATTTCGAAAACTGTAGAGCAGGCACTGAGTTATGTGATCCCTCGGTAATTTTCGTCGTTTCTCTTGTCTCCTTTCTTGTAGATCGGGAACATGAATGACGATTTTCAACGCGTAGGAAACTCCCCCTGCTGTAATGAAATATTGAACAGCTTCGAAAGCGGTGTTGTAAGCTCTGAACTGCATCGCTTCAGGATGCTTGAGAAGATCCCGTCAGGGTCAGCAGCATTAAAAAATTTCAGCTTCTTGATGGCGGATTCGACGAGGTCTACTGTAAACCGAGGTAATCGAAAAATTGAAAGTATCACTGGGAGTATCCCTCACCGCTTCAGCAACTTGGGACAACGAAGCCGTAGTGTCATTGAAAATGCGTTTGAAATGTTCTGCCAGAAGATTACATTTCTCAAGGGAATTGCTGGCGATTCTATCACCCAGGTGAATTTCGACTGGTAGCCCCTCCTCGTTTCGTTTTGTATTCACGAATGACCAGAACTGCTTTGGATTAAGCCGTAAATTAGCCTGCACACGCCTTGTGTAACTCTTGTAAATAATGCGGTTATATGTGCGATATTCGTTGCTCGCTGTTGAAAATAATCGTTTAGTGAATGGGTTACGAGTACGACAGTATTTACGGAGGGCTTTCGATCTCAGACGCTTCAAATTCCGTAGTCAAGCATTGGACCATGCGGGTTTGGGAGAGTGTCTCCTCAATGGGACATAATCAGTTATTTCCCGGCCAACGACCTCAGCGAAGTAGTTGACACCTTCATCAATAGATGAACACGCGTCAAAGAACTGCCAATCTGCCTGGGCAAGCGAGTGACTCAGCGCGACGAAATCTGCTCTACGAAAGTCGAGCTCATGTACATCAACAGGGGGGGTTATCGTAGCGAACAGGAACAGATAGGTTGATGGAAACTTCCAACGCAGGATGATTGGTGTCGATGCCAATCAAAGGCTCTGGGGCTTCTAGGATAGAACATTCCAGTCCTGCAGCTTCGTTCGCCAGAACGAGATCAAATAGCCGAGAGTTACTGAATAGCGAGTTGATTTGCGTTAAGCCATGCAGGTTGAAACCATCAAGGAGAGCACAGCAGGATGCGGGCATGTTCGAGCGAAGAACATCAATGCTAGGAAGATCGTTCTATGAGAGCCCAGACTGATTGTAGTCACCAAATACCAGAGCGAGGTCGTTTTGTTCTAGTCGAGAGAACACGGTACCAATCGAACTGATGTGGTTTGCAATGCTGCTCGAATCAGATTTCCGGTCTGGAGGTAGATACCTAGCGCCAATACTTATTGATCTACGAGGCGTCGTTATTTTGACCCACAGCTGCTCTAGAGAAGTGCAATCTGTAGCAGGATGGATGCAGGAGCTTAGGCGTTTGGATACCGCAATCAAGACGCCTCCCCCACGCGATTTGGTACTATTCTGTTGGTTGCGGTCGTTTCGAAATACCGTGAATAGACTGCCAAATAATTGAGATGAATTAATGCGGTCATCGAGCCAGGTTTCCGTAAGAACTATGACATCGTAGTCAGAGTCAACGGCAGTCAGGAAAAAATCATCAATCTTTGTTCGCAGACCACGAACGTTCTGGTAATACATCAACAGGCGGTCGAACGAAGTCGGTTGGAGGTCTGCAGAATGATCGATCAGCCGAAACGAGCATGGTGGTTCTCTGGAACACAGAGACGGATCAGGAGAAGAACTGTTTTCAACAAACGCATACTTGCCTGATGTAGAAGGTTGGAAGACCCCTTCACCATTCTCAACCACAGGGCCAGAACGACTACGATGACAGGAATCAGCAAGCGCGGAACTGGGTTGAGTGGCTCAGGGGCTTTCTTGAGGCAGCAGGCAGAGGGTATTAGATATTGATTGAATATTCGTCTTAGTTATGAAATATTAGAAGTAATGTTTATTTTAAGTTTATTGTTGTTATTTGCGGTTATTTGCAGCGATCACTTCCAGGATGACGACTTCATTAATCCGCTCTGCAAAACTCAGGGGTTAGCGTTAATTGATGTCTATTAATTCTCAATAATATATTATAAACTTTTCTAATCTTCAGAGTTCAAATCGGAACGTAACGAGCCAAATTTTACGTTTAGATGGCATAAGTACGATGGATGTTGAAGATACGTGTACATGGCAGATCGATTAGTTGAACTGGAGGCGGAAAACTTAAAACTAAAACGAGAACTTCAAAAGAACAAACAAACTGCATGCAAGAAAAATGCCGCCAGAAAGAAAGTTAAGGAGAAATTAACCTCATTTCCAACCAACCCACTTCAGGATCCTATTCTTGTTGAGGTGAAAAACAATAGGAATCGATCTACTAAATACAGAAAACAAAGCAATCTTTCAAAATTCATCTTTTGATTTATTCTTTTTAATTAATAAAGATGAGTAGCTTAGTGCTTTAATGAGAAACTTGGCATTGTTGTCTGCTCTCCAATACTCGTTACATATTGATCTCAGGAACTGTTACCGAAATCGGCAAACATGATTCCGGTTTGACAAAGATATAGGGCCCGCAACGCACACAATGAGGCCGCGGGCCGTACGTTGGACAGGCCTGATCTATATTCAAAAATTACAATGCTGGATGAGTGACTAATAATCTCCCGAATTGCAATATTTCGCAGAGAATAAACTGATTCTCGGAACGCGTCAGGGCCATCTGCTGATGTACTCGTTCGAACCGAACCCAGAAACGAACAAACTGGACCTGCAGCTGTTGCAGTACGATAAGAACTTTAGCAAGAAACCCATCACCCAGATCGAGGCCATTCCCGAGTACAAGCTGATCTTTAGCCTATCGGATGGGGTTGTCAACGTGAACGACTATAGCCGGCATGGCTTCCCGCTGATCCATATGGCTCAGAAGACGAAAGGTGCCACCGTATTTGCGTTGGATATCAAGGTATGGCCGAAATTGAGTATTTTAGAATGTAGAACGTTGAATGTTTTATTTATAGAAATCGAAATCGTTGACCGGGGAACTAGCACTGGTCTGTCGCCTCTGCGTAGCGGTGAAACGTAAGCTTCAGTGCTACTATTGGAAGCAGAATGAATTGCTGGATTTCGGGAAGGACATTGATCTCAACGATGTACCGAAGACCATCGCATGGAATAACAACTGCATCTGTGTCGGATTCAAAACTGAATATGTAATCTACGATGTAAGATATTGAGTAAATGGTTTGTAGGATTGTTGAAAATAAACTAAACGGAAGACATTTTCAGCTTTCTGGGGAGCAACCGAGGAAGATCGACCTGTTCCCGACGAGTTCATCGAAATCGATCGAACCTTGCATCTCGCTGATCGAGGATGGCGTCTTTGCTGTCGCCAAGGATGAGTATCTCGTGACGGTCTATACGGAAAAGTACACAAACGATGGGAAGGACAAGGGGACCGGTTTGGTAAAACCGGATGCTTCACTGTTGACGACCAAGGACACCCGCAATTTGAAATCGTTGAGTTGGAGCGAACCATTCCAGGGGTTGGTGTGGGATGAACCGTATATCATAGGGCTAGTTACGGACGGTGTAGAAGTGCGCGTTTTCGACAATGTGGACATGTCGGACAAGGGGACGTTGATACAGAGTATTCCTCAGCTGCAGAAAGCTCGATTCATAGCTCGTGGAAGGCAAGGTCTGCTGTACGCGGCGTCGGTTTCACACTTGTGGTGTATCCAGGCAGTAGACATATCGAAACAGCGTGCACATTTGCTACAGGAGGAGAACTTCCATTTGGCGCTTCAACTGACGGTAAGTTCTGATTCATATTTAGGTTAACATGTTACACTGCATGATGGAAGATCTTTGAGACTGTTAAAATTATCTAGTTTGTTCCGGGCAGTTCCTGACCATTGTCCTAACTTTCCGAAGCTTATGTATAATTTCAATCGTCTCGGTCATAATCATCTGTATTTGTCTGTATCAGTTATTTTTGATTAACATATATTTTGTAATAGGAAATGATGAAAAATTGAAACCCGCGTGGAAAATTACTGTCGTTTTCGGTATAGTTAATCCACCCCAAATACACTCAAACCTCTACAGGTCAAAGTATACTTTGTAATTAGGGGATTTGTGAGTTCTGTGAATCTAGTCAGCCTCATCTTGATGTTTTTTATTTCACAAAGTGTGCTATATTTTTTTAAATTTCCAAAAAAAATATTGGGTTTCTTAAACTTCTTCAATGTTTCCAAAACGTTTTTCTAAGTTTCCTTGAGTTTTCTGTAATTTTCTTAGATTTTGATAAAGGTGCCCAAAGCATTCCATATTTCTTAAACTTTTTTTAAGTTCTCTAAACTTTTCTAAATAACTAAAAATACGCTAAGGATGATCTCCGAAAAGTCTTTCTAAGATTCCTAAACTTCCCTAGAGTTCTCCCAAACTTCACTGGGGTGTTCCTGAGTCTGTCTGACATTTCCTAAGTTACAATGAAGTTCGTTAAGTTTGTTTACATTTCGCTGAGTTTCTCTGAAATCAGTTGATCTTATTTAAAATTCAGGGAGTTTCTGCAAAACTTTCTCTCCTGCTCCCTAAACTCTGCTGAAATTCACCCAAAAAATTTTGAAGATGCACTTCCAATTGATAGCTTTCGATGCCTGTACCATTTTTACATTAAAGGGTGTCCACAGTCCAATTGCGCCAAAAATAAGTCTCTCAAACGATTGTCATGAAATGTTCAGGGAATTTAAAACTATCTATATGCTTGGTTTAAGTATCTTAATTTTGCTCTATTTCTACACCAAATCCAAATGCCACCCATAAGGTTTTGTACAACGGTTGAATCGACATTTTTTCTGCTTTCAACCATGATTTCAACATTTCCTGCTCCGTAGTGACAACTGTAGGATCAATTTTTTAAATTTGTCGAACTTTTTAACGGAATCCCGTTATGAAGAGCTTTGAAGGTGTTGGTTTATTTTCTTTTAATTCCGTTACAATTGCTTATCTTTTGACAGATACGCGATTTCGGCTACTACTTGCAGACTTCATCAGTGCCAAGTGGTGTTGAGTACTCACCAATTATAACGGAATTAAAAGGAAATAAACCAACACACTCAAAGCTCTTCATAACTTTAGGATGTTTACGGAGTTCGTGCTTCATTATAGCCCAGTAACTTTCGATCGGCCGCAACTCTGGGGTGTTTGGGGGATTGATATTCTTCGGCACGAAATTGACCCCATTCGTCTTGTACCTCTCCATAAGGTCCTTGGGGTAGTGATAAGAGGCTAGATTCGGCCAAAAAATTGTAGGAACGTTGTGTGATTTGAGAAACAGAAGCAGTGGTTTCTCCAGACACTCATTCATGTAGACTTAGCCATTTACGGTTGTAGTTGTTACGAAAGACTTGCTCCGTTTTCCACACGAACAGCCAGCCAAATCATGAATTTCTTGGGGAACTTCAACACTTGCTGTTTCCGCAAGGACTCTGAAACATCGAACTTGTCTTTCGCGGTCACATACTGGTTTCTCGGAATTTGTTTGAAGTCCGCTTTTACGTATGTGTCATCGACGTCATCGTCCATGATACAGCAGTGTGGCTTTGTCAACATTTGTGTGTACAGCTTACGTGACCGCGTTCTAGCTGTCCTCTTCTGTCGTTCTGCGGTTTGATGCTTAGTGAACCTTGAATGAACGCAGTGGCGTCCCGTAACCTCACTTTTTACCTGTGCATCAACTTTAAAAACCAGATTTAATGCCATATTCATACTCGAATCGGTTCAAAAATACACTTAATCTTCTAGTTTACTCGATATCTATTCATTGCAAGCAATATTTTGATAATTGGTTATGTTTTGAAAGTTGGTGCACAGGTAGATTGTGGTTAAGGAAACGTCACTGAATGAACGTAGTCCTGCTCGTTTCTTGGCTTTCTGCACGAAACTTTTTGTCAGATGCTTTGTCAGATGAATTTCTGAAAACTGGGGAGATCTTTGAAAAATTCCATCGAACACTGCAACCTCATAAAATCAGAGCAGTCTTGTAACTGTTCGTTTATCCCACAAGGTTCAATAGCAAGATACTCTACGAGCTGACTCTCAGGTCTGTTATCACCATCTTTGCAGATTTTGGCCCACTCCGCCTACTGATGTACTATACTATCCAGCTTACCGAGGTGTTTGGGCTATCATCCAAATAATTTGTGTGATAATGTGTGATGTTTAAAGGTTAAACACGAAAAAATCCGGACACGAAAATCTTCTTGCGGTTTAAAAATACTATTTATTTTTCATAGTTCAATGCAACAGCTATATATTAGTAGGTATTATACGTATTGTAAGACCACTGTTTCAGTCTTCCTTCGTACCATAGGCCATCGCTCGAACTTTTCTTCGTACACGGCCCATCATCTTGCGGCTCGCCTTGTTCACACGTGTATGGCTGCCAAATTCCATTTCCGCTTGAAATCCATCAGGCCAATTGCAGTTCCACCCTTTTTCTTCAGTATGTGCTTCACAATTGACCAGTATTCCTCAATTGGCCTTAGTTCCGAAGTATTGGCCGGATTCATCTCCTTGGGACCCATTGCGACGCCATTTTCGCTGTACCACTATTTGGTGGAATTTGTGTAGTGGCAGCTTGCCAAGTCCGACCAGAATAAGCAATCCACCTCATGCTGATCGAGAAAAGACAGTAGTCTCTTTCGTAGGCACTCCTACTGGTGAATTTGCTGGTTCATGGTCCCAGAAAAATCCGTCAGGGATGAACTAAATTCCGTCAAAACCATAAACACTAGTCAAGTATTCAAGAGAAAAAAAGTACGAGAGCGAAACTTCAGAGACGTCCGATTGCTAGGCGACCTGAATTAAGGGGGTTAGAAAGAAAAGGGGTACACGTGTAAGTGACTTAATCGATTCTCTTGGTCGACTTTCTCTTTTGATAGCCACAGCTTTATAAACAGATTTTGCGCTATTTCTGCCACATAGTTTGATGAAGAAGGTTCTCATCTAGCATCCAGAATGGCACTTAAATCAAGAAATGTGTTTGCAGCTGAATTATTAACGAAAGAGAAAGTCGATGAAGAGAATCGATCAAAATCAACACCCCTTTCCTTCAAACCCCCTTAATTAAGAGAATTTAAAATATTTGCTTATTGTTATTGCTTTCGGAAATATTGTGCTTGGCAATTTAGTTGAAGAATATGGCCTGTAATGATTGCTATCTCAACTGAAGTGTTAGAATCTACCAATAATACATGCTACTATTTTTCATGCATTTTCCAGAACATTTCCGATGAAAGTCCGGAATTCAAAATTACCAAGGTCAACGAAATCCAAACGCGTCACGCCTACAACCTATTCGTGAACAAATACTTCCGCGATTCGATGAAAGAGTTCTCCAACCTGAATACCGACCCGATTGATGTGATAAGGCTCTTTCCGGATTTGCTCCCCGATAGTGGCAAGAACAAGTTGAGTTCTTACTCCAAGAAGCCGGCACCTGTGCTGGACGAAAAAGACATCGAGAATGGCCTACTAGCACTGATCGGTTATCTCACAGTGATCCGCTACAACCTACGGCAAGATCTGATCAACAAAACCGATTCCAAGCTTTCTGCGGGGAAGAATATTTCTGCCCTGCTCTCGATCATCGATACCACGCTGCTCAAGTGCTACCTGCAGACGAACGATTCCATGGTGGCTTCGGTGCTGCGTATGAACTGCTGCTATCTGGAAGAGTCCGAACGGGTGCTGAAGAAGTACGACAAATACGTGGAACTGATAATTCTCTATCAAACCAAAGGCCAACATAAGCGAGCCCTCCAATTGTTGCAGGCTCAGGCTGAGACTCCAGGATCTCCTCTCTACGGCCACGATCGGACTATTCAGTATCTGCAGCACTTGGGTAATGAGCATAAGTTTCTTATATTTGAATTCGCCGGATGGGTTCTGGACAAGTACCCCGATGATGGATTGAAGATTTTCATTGAAGACGTTCCGGAGGTTGAAAATCTACCCAGGGCTGAAGTGTTGGATTTTCTGCTGAAGGATCATAAGCGGTTGGTGATTCGTTATCTGGAGCATATAATCAACGTGTGGAACGAGGAGAAGGCGTTGTTCCATAACATTTTGATCCAACAATATCGGGAGAGGTTGATTGCGCTGAAAAATGATGCTGATGTGGAGAACGATGTGTGAGTAGTAGCGTTATTTGAGATCTGGCATTTGCGAACATGATATCAATTATGTTTTACAGTCAAAAGAAAACCGCTCGAGATACCATCAAGGGAAAACTGTTATCTTTCCTGAAAAAATCCACATATTATCATGCCGAGAAGGTGCTGGGCGACTTTCCATATACCGATCTGTTCGAAGCACGTGCTATCATTCTTGGACGTCTAGGTCTGCCAATTGTGTACAATTCTTGTCCAATAAACTCACAAGTTATTTCCCGTTTCAGGTAAACACGAAAAAGTCCTAGCCATATTCGTCCAAATCCTCGGCGATTTTGACAAAGCCGTTGAGTATTGCGATCAAACGTACGATGCCGATGATCCGAAAAGCTGTGACGTCTACGTCACCTTGATCAAAACGATCCTCACGCCTCCGACGGCTCCGCCGTACAGCGATGTGCAACTACACCCACGGTGTCTCAAGCCGGACATCGATACCGTACTGGCGATCATGGAAAACAATGCCAAGAAGATCAATCCGTACGAGGTGCTGCAGATCCTGCCGGACAACATTCCACTGGAGTCGATCAAGAACTTCCTCGAGATTGCTCTGAACCATCATCTGGAACGGAAGCGAAAGACTCAAATCCTGAAGGGACTGTACTACGCCGAACATCTGCAGACCCACGAGCAGAAGATACACTACGAGTCGAAGCACTTCCTGGTGACGGAGTTGAGTGTGTGCCCGGTGTGTAAGAAGAAGTTTAGCTACCAGAGTGCGTTCGTGCGGACGCCGGAGGGCAATATTGTGCATTTTTCATGCCAGGATAAGATTTGAATCATTTTCTGGTGATGAATGCTATTGTAATCGATAGTTGTTTAAAATAAAACTATTTAATTGATTGAATAATTGATTTGCTGTTTGTTTGAAAGGCGATGTTATTCACAAAAAGCTTTGCATTTAACTAAGAAGATACAACCGCAGAGGTCATGCAATCCAAAAACTGATACAAGCATATTTGATTTTTTTTTTATAACGAAACTTGTACTTGAATATGCGGATTACAAAGGAATTAAGATTTAGTCAAATTTAGTTCCATTGAAATATTTACATTGCGGTATGCTTAACATAATTAATCACAACTTGATCATTCATGCCGGAGGCTTAAATTTGCGCCCGACCTCTTTCATGAGGTTCTGCGGACACTAAAGGACTCTTTTTGGTCCAGAGTTTATTAGTATTATTAGAAGTGTGAGAGCAAACATTATTGGTTCAATGTGTCACCGGAATAGGCGGAATAACTGTTTTTCGATGACCCTAGAGATGGTTTGGTTGACGATTTCGAACTAGAGTGCCTGTATTTGGTGTTTCGTACTGCTTCTGATAGCATTCACTACCAGAGGGCAAGTCGTCTTCGATCGTAGGGCGGGTGGATAAATGACTTGAGAATGTATGGCGAAATTCATTTTTAATTACTGGCCTTCTACTGAATATCAAAGCGACATTTCTCGCTGGTGCGTGGCGGGCGGTCATCAAAAAACCCGACGCTGGTTTAGATACAACAAGACAGCAGAGCTTTATTCACTCATTTTACTTATATTAGGTTTTGCACCGTCGGGATTAACCTCAATCTGATGACAGTTTGGTTAAAATTTGACAGATGGAAAGTTATCGATTAAGGCTCTGAACCATTTGGTGGATTATTTTAACTATTGGTTAAAATTTGACAGATGAAAAGTTATCGATTAACCCTGCTATCCGAGCGTGGTTACTTCTGACAGACAAGAAGTTAAATTTTGACAACTGTGGCTCGAAAACCGGTCGATCAACAGCACGGGGATTTTCGAACATAGAAAATAACTTTCGAAATGTCACTTTTAACCATGAGTTAAATTTATCTCAGCAAATGGTTCACAGCCTAACCCTGCTCTCCGCCCGTGGTTATTTCTGATTTTCGAACACAGAAAATAACTTTCGAAATGTCACTTTTAACCACGAGTTAAATTTAACTCGGCAAATGGTTCACAGCCTTAAAGGCTCGCGCTCGGAGTGCCATCGGTATGCCCTAGCTTCCTTCTTAGGTTGTGAACCATTTGCCGAGTTAAATTTAACTCGTGGTTAAAAGTGACATTTCGAAAGTTGTTTCTTATGTTCGAAAATCCCCGTGCTGTCGATCGACCGGTTTTCGAGCCACGGTCGTCAAATTTAAATCAGAAATAACCATGCTCGGATAGCAGGGTTAATCGATAACTCTCCATCTGTCAAATTTTAACCAAAAAGTTAAACAAAATCGCCGAATGCTTCAGAGCATTAATTGTATAACTCTAGGTCACTGTCTGCGACATAATGTGACGGCCCCATGATAAAATGCAAACATGGAACGGGGGCCGTCTCACTGGTATCGCCGGTCTGCCTACGTCTCTAATGTAGCTAATGACGGCGGTATAAAAATATCAATAATGGTGCAATTTGTTCGATATACTATTTCTACATAATGTATGTCCTGTTTCAGGCGGCTGGTTCGGAATCACACCGACAGTTCGCGGAATCACACCGACAGTTCGCTCACCTAGGGACTTCTTTGTAAAGGTCCTTGAAAGGATACTGGATTCTTATTAAGCTTGTAAATGTAGAATCAAACACAGCGATAATTATCAGATTACAGATTTTATTGCACTTGAATCAACAGTGGTTATGAGGATAATGAAATTTTTTTATTGAAGTCTTCCTAATGGCTTACTTGTTTCCAACAGCACCCAAATATCACAAATTCATAGAATTATGTTAGTAATGCCTTGTTCAGACTGGAGAGCTATAAAATGTTATAACGGTTGTCAAATAATTGCAACACAGAAACCACCATCAAGATATGAATGAACATGAACTGCTATACAAGCAAAACTAGTTATACAAAGGTTTTAGAAAATGTTATAGAACATGTGTGTTGCTTGGGTATTACTAAAAAGAACGAAATCTTCTATTTTTTGAAAATGTCCACACCGCAAAACTAGTTTATCTACCACTGGTTGGGCGAATTCTGTCGGATTTGAAGGTAGAAAGTTAGAAATTGAGGCAGCTAATTGCCATGGAAGAATACAGATAAATGTTGTTTGCCTTGATAGAAAATTTATTTGGTAGTTTAAAGTTGTTAAACAATGATTAAAACCGAAATATAGCATCGACTGACCCATATTACTCAATGGCCCATAATACTGGTATGACACTGACACACTGCCAGTTTGAAATTTGTACTGCCAGTTTGAAATTCCCACAACACAAATCTCAGAAACTTCTATGACTTCGTGATTTAAGCCTAATCGTTTGTTTTGTAGGTTTCTACAACTGAGGGTCTATAGGATAAAGAGGATAAGAGAGAAGCTTGATGATCTTGATTCTTTTGGTAGTCTGATAGAAACCACCTAAGCTTAGGTTGTAACGGGCTAATCGCCGAAAGGTTTCTTTCCAAGTGTATCAACCTCTCCACTTAAGCGCCAAGCAAGCAAAGGAATCACTTGCATGTGAAGAGGCAAGGTTTGCTCGTGCCCGGTGAGACTCCTCAAGGCGAGTCCTTCAAAATACTACTCCGATTTCCGATCGTACCACAACCAACGCTTCCCAATATGACCCCTAGATAATGTAGTCAACGGGGACCCAAACTAAGTCAACGCACGGACTAAAAAAACTCAATTATCAGACTTTTCTCTTTTGCTCACGACAATCATGGTTGGTTATTTTTTTTCATATACTTTGTATTCGGTTTTGAAAGGGGTTAGTTAATAGCCATCGGCTCTGCTATACCGACCGTAGTTCAAAATCAACTGTCTAATGACTTCACTTGGTTTGTCCCATTTATTGCTATTCTAGAACCTTCTTATCTTCGGGGTAGGGGTGTGTGTGTGTTGATGCCTTCTTATTCTATTTTTAGGTTACCTGGACTGATCTAACCTGTTATGCTCGGAGGGGCTGCAGCCGTATACTACCTCTCGCTGATAATGCTGTCAGTGGTACGTGTCTCGGCTATGACGAATTTTTTCCTCGAGACAGCCACCACACGGTTACACGTTTTGATTCGGTTTTTTTTTTAGCGGGCCCGCTTTTCTACTCGCGCGAGTGCTGCTTCGAGGCCAAACATGGGGTGATCCGGCAATTGGCGACCGGTATACAACCCCGGAAGTAGTGGTGACTTCCGATGGCCCGTAAGTGCGCTGGGGAATATCGCTAACCCGCCAACGAGACCAGCTACAAGCTGACGAGTCTTCGGACCTTCCCAGAGATCGCGTGGCATACGCGAACCCCTACACCTACCTCGACGAAACACCTTCGCTTGAAGGATATTCGGTCCTTCAAGTGAAAAGAAACGCACCAATTACAATTTTGTTTTTCTAACTTCCAACAGTCGAGTTGTGGATATTTACCTGGACCTCGAGCAGATTATTTCGTGTGTTTCACCTTTTCTCTTTTAAAGACAACTTTAGCCTATTCATATGCTACAACAAATTTTAGGTTAGGCTACATTCAACAAAATTAACAGAGGAACTCACTAGGTTTACAATAGATTTTAGGCACGCGTGGGCCAATAATAACGTTCTCAACCACTATTGTTTTTTTTTCTAAATTTCCCGATTACTGAAATACAAGATGTTATTTTTTTTTTTACATATTTTTCCTATGGTCGATATCTTATTAAAACTCACTATAACTATTTCGATTGGCTAAAATTCTCACAAACGATAACTTTCCACTAAGTTTTTTTCGGGACTACGTCCAACCACTATGCCGATCGAAACGAGAAAGAATGGTAATTGAAGATGGCCTTCTTTGCCAAGTGTTACGCAACGCGGGGATCCCTACTAATACCATTGCTTCAAAAATTTGCATATCATCATTTCATTTTTAAAACATTGGCTATACTATCTGCGATCCAAACGGAGTGGTATGTCTTGCTTCACGATCAGATTCAAATGAGTGTTTCCAATTCTCGCCACTCACAGCGCTACGATGCATAAAAAGTGCTCGAATGCAAACATCACCAAATGTATACAATTGCCTTCCCTTTGACTTTCTTGTAGCCTGAGAAGTGGAAGATACACACTTCAAGAGAATATATTTACAGATGTTACTATTTTTTTACGACCATTTTGTAACAATGTTACAAGGTTGCCAAAGCTGTTTGTTCTGAATCCGCTTCTCCCTTATCCCATACCCTCACTTGTTTCTTCGAAAGACAATGAAAAATCTCAGTAGAAACTGGATAAGGACGGGAAGATGGTGGCAGTGAGTAGACGGAGGAGAACTGAATAATGTTGAGAACTGTGAATAAGGATTTGTATTGTTTGAAGTTAGTTAGCCCAAGTTAGTTAATCTGCATAATGGAGATTGTCAGTCTTAGCACTTGTTTGAAGTTATTATTGTTGTGAGTTTAAGAAAGACCAGCCTATCCTACAAATGACGACTAGGATAAGAGCGAGAAACAGGATGGATGGCATGCAGGGGAAATTGTATTAATAGGTAGGGCCACGGGATGTAAACTAGGCCTAGCCCCTCAAATCGTCTAATCAATGAACTATCAAGAACTCCATATTGAAGGGACCATCGAGTCATAGAACAAAAATCCCATAGAAAATATCTATTGCAGTAGCAATGACACTCATTTTTACTATGTTTCTATTACTAGATATCGAGTTTGTTGACATTGAGTTGTGGAGAGTTGAGTGTAAATCCTTCTTTAGCACTCTATACTGAAAAGTTCTATTTTTCGAAACGCTTTGGCCTACTTTTGCTAACTAAAATATCTGTGCCAAAAAGTGCCGCTTATCGGCAAGCTTCGGTGCATAAATTTACGTGTCGTGCTGAAAAATCTTGTTTTTGCTACTTGTTACATAAATAACTATTTCAGCAATAAATTTCAA